TTTTCTCAAACTTTTCGAAGTAGTTCTTGTTTTCAGCAGCTCTCATTATCGTTTAACTAACACAACTCTGGACCTATTGACCTGTATCTGTCATATCTTAGAGTTTATATTATAATGTCTTACCTTCTTATAATAATTTTTGTGTTTGAAGTCATTCCGGTTTCTGAACGATGTAAAAAGTAAGCCTTCACTGCAAGTTTCTGAGTCGAATAAACGCATATGTTATGAAGTTATATCCAACAACTGGTCAATCCATAAACAAACACTATGGTATAAGAGACTTTTGTCTATAAGATATGCTTAGTTCCATAAGAATCTTACGATATCATAAGCTCAAAGGATTTCTTGTCAAAATTTTCTGCGGAAAGTAGAAGCAATTCTAACCCAGTCCTTTGCTTTTTCTTTCCAGATGGAGATAAAATGTCTGACAAAGAATATTTTTGTTGTATTTCTTTGGTATTCTACGTTTAAATCAACCTATTCTAAAACCACTTTGGTGTCATTGTTCCTATCTTTCCAACTGTTTCAAACTCATTGTTTGACATTTCTGTCTTTAAGTCATGCGATAGGTCCCGTTTCCTTCATACGTGTTCTATCTCTTTGACGGAGTATTATTTTCCTCATTGCTGGCTTTAAACATTTAGAACATTGTGGTTCAACTTTGCCGTTAATATTTCTTGAAACGCGTTACTGCTAAAACAACCAAGGCGTCAATGGTTTTTTTTAAATCTGAAGCCAAGTTGGTTTTTAATCTGTTATTCCATATCTTACTATTCTATCTTTATCTTCTTGAATCTGCCATACACATTTGCAGCTAACGAAACAAAGTTGTCCGGTAGGTCTTAAATTCCTTCAGAATTTTAATATAATGTCAGAAAATTCCTATATACCAATGTCTTGCAATCTTTGTCCATAACCTATTGTTTTGCAATGAAATCCAAAAGAAAACTCATAGTTTCCTTTTCGTATGAACTTCTTTATTTCTACTGAAAGTCAGTTGCGCTTTGAACTTCTATTCATCGAATTCTGGAATAGTAAGCTTTGTTGTTGGATTTCAGGAAGTTTTAGGTAGATGGTGCAATAATATCCTGCATTTCATAAAGAATAACTGTCATTTGTTTCATCTTTCGCACTACAGTTTAGATCTCCTTGGAGAAGTTCTTGCTTTATCTTCTGGATTTCTGTTTCGAAAGTATATGAAGAAGGAATGAAGCTTTTCATCTCTACTAACATAGATGTTGGATTCATGACTAACGAGTTTGGTGCTGTTGTTGCTAACATGTTCTTACAATAAAAATAAAAAAATATTTTTTGGTGGGACTACCTTTATTTTATTTCAGCACAAAATGAACGAGTTTGGTTTAAAAATACGGTGGAGCCAAAAATGGCTCGACCTCAAAACAAGCATTTTGTGAAGAATATACCAACCCGCGGAAAACGGCGGGTTGCTTTTTTATACAAAATTCAAAGGAGGTTTAGAATGAGGTTAGAAATGAGTTAGATCTAACCTTCTACCTTAACATTACCGGTTTTGGTTGTAAAATTGTATACAAAAATAAATGGCTAATTAATGATATCATGACCTGTTCTTCATTCATGGTCTGATTTACGATCTATGAAAAAGTTTAGAAGAATTTTCCTTATTCTTCCTGGCTTAATTTTTGTCTGTTCCAGTACTCCCACTCTAATGTCCCAAAATGAAGTTGGCTTTGACTCTCCAAGTTCTAGATGGGTATAACATCTTCAAACACCTCCTCAATAATCTTACTTTATAAGTGTCAATCGTTTATGTTATAACCAAGTATTTTCAATAACCACTCCTCAGCTTTGGCTTCGTCAATGGTTTCAGCAAGTTTGCCATTACTCTTTCAACTAATTTCTGACGAGGGTAAAAGCTATGGAGTCGTCAAGCAGCTTTTATAAGATTATCCATTACATTGCTAGAGTCTATGATATAATAGTTTCTACTTAACCTTAACGTTTCTTTGTCAACGGTTTGTCGTCAAAACTACACGACGTAACTTTTGTAACCAGGAAATGAGGGTAAATTGTGTTGAATTTCTGATATTTTTTGTGTTTGGCTTCGTTTCTTTTGTATATACTTTTCTTCCTTGTTGTTGTTCATTGAATTTGGTGTATGTCCTGTTTGTAGAATGTTGTTGAGGAATTAATATACTTCGATGAAAATGTTCATTGTTTCTCGGTAAAGTCTCGCTCTTGTTTAAATCTCTGAGAGTCCTTTATGAAGCGGTTTCATGATGCCGAGTATGTTATTGGTTATGGTCTTCAGTAGTGTAGTGAGTTATGTTATGCTAATGAGAAAATCTGTGATTTTCATTGCTGAGGTATGCACTGTCCTTGGTCTGTATGTTAAGTTACTTGGGTTATGTTCCTGCACGAACGTCTGCAAAACTCTTAAAACTTTCACGAGTTCCTTTATTTTTCATTGGATATTGGCATATGCTTTATCGAGTGTTAACATTTATGAAGATGAGGAATGGTTTATGTCCTCCTTTTTTGCTTTGAATGAGAGTGTCAATTGGTATGCGTCAGGAAAGCGTTGGAGTAAATTTGGTAAAAAGTAGTCGTAAGGTTTATTTTTTGTTTGAATGTAACAACATTTTTGTCAATGAACCTTTTTCACTTCACGCTCTGTTAGTAAAATCCCCACCTCTTTGCCAGCTTCACTTTGAACTTCTTAAATGACCTCCCGGATGTTGTTCGAATACTTCTTTCAAAGCTCATTTAATGTAAAAAATAAAGATTTTAACCAACTCGTATCCCAAGCGTGCATTGTTATTAAGGAGGCATATATCTTTTTCCATTACCTTGCTGGGTCTGTAATTACCAGCTACAACATGTGTATGATTTCCTGCAGTTCCACAGAAATACCTGTGCTTGAATCTACTGGTCAGTGAAATATCATATCTATGCATTCCCTGTCTAATCCAAACCCGCCTGCAAGATTTGTATAACCTCTTTTTGTTATTGAATGTGAATGGTTTCCTTCCACAGATGTTCTCCCACTGAACCTATGCATATGTGAAGGAAAGGTTTTTCAATAACCTATTTTCTTTGAACCTCCCATCTTCATTGATGCGTCAATTAGTGTAGAATGGAAAACTGTCAACTTTCATACCCATCTACCACCAATAAAGTGTTTGGATTTATTGGATTCATAGACGTATAAACAGCTCCTATAGGATATATTAAATCATATATATGCTCTATAACTCTATACACATACTAAAGAACTTATGTGTCATTAAACCATTTTGGAATGTATTCTCCCGGATGAAATTTGCATTTGTTTCACTTTTAATAATGTAATGTTAGTTCAATAGAATTAATCCCAAAAAAATCAAAAGTATCGGTTGAAGACCTCTAACAAATTCAAAATGGAGTTGCTGGTTCACCATTTTATAATTTCTGTTGTAAATGTCATTTGTATGCTGGTTTCGAAAATTTCTTTGTTAGTTCTGCATCCACATAAGTTTTGTCTGCTTTCTTATCTAACATTGTTGGTAGTTCATGTGGCTTTCAAAGTTTTCTGGCATGACCTTCAAATGTTCATACATTTACTATTTAAGGAGTTTAAAGTAGTATCTTTTTACGCTTTGTACTGGGATTCTCTAAAGGTGCACTTTAACCAAGGGTATAGTTCAATATTAATGTTCGTCTGCTCTAACAGTAGTGAAGAATTTATGTGTATGGTTCTTGTCGGCTTTACTGTCTAATGTAGCTTGAAGTTCATTTATATCGGAGATGTTGTGTTTATGAGATTTCCAAAACTTTGTTCATTGCTTCGAGTTCAACTTTGTCGCTTTACTTTTAATAGCATCTTCAAACGTTATTTTGACTTAACTCTCAAAGTAAATCTTGGTTCAACTAATACAACCTTTAACAGAGAAAGTAGAGGCATAAATTTCACCGGAATAACTAAATGCTTCTGGTGCTTTACCCGTGTCATAACTGTACAGTACAGCTTATGTCATAACCTTTAGCACGAAATGTATTTTATATCTTCTTTCATTGGGTCTTCCGTCTTCACTTCTTCAGTTTCGTGCTAAATATCCATGGTAGTCCGTTATAATCTGTTCGTCTGAAGTTATATAATGAACATGGTTTTTATTGCTTTACTATTTAATGTAGCTTTGAGTTATTATGACTCGGATTATCGGAGATATTGTGTTTATGTTCTTTATCTGCTTTTTCGGCTAATTTCTCTTCTATCTCATTTATTTCAAGTTCATGCCTACCACCACCTCCCGAAGAAGTATTTTTCTTCAGCTCTTGAAGAACGTCCACTTCGCCATCTTTGGTGTCAATAATGAGACTTTGAGTTAAAACCTTTCCTGTCTTAATGGATGTTTGTAAAACTTCTTCTTCACCATGTTCGGGTCATGGTCGTCATCATATCTTGTGAAATCAGAGATGTTGTCATACATTAAGCATATCTGTCTCAAAAGTTCTGCTATTTGAAACTGGAACGAAAGATATACAGAACTTTCATCATCTCCTAAAGTCAAGTCTGCTTTCTTAAGTATTTCTTGAATGTATGCAATGAGAACAGAGTACCTTGGAAAATATTCGAACAATATTTCATTAGCTGTTGGTTTTGGTGGTTCCTCTGAGTTTCTGTTGTTTCAGTTCCTTCTGTAGGTTCTGTTGGAGTTTCTGCATCTCTTGACTTCAATGCTCTTGCTCTCAAAGACCTAAATGTTAGAGCACCGGGTTTTACAAAGGACTTTATAAATGCTTTAATAGTTCCTGGTAAGTTATTGTTAGCATTAAGTAAGTTCCTTATGCTTCCATCATGTACGTCCATAGCACTATGTAAAAAATCTATACTTTCTTGTAGTCAGCAATAGACTGACTGTTTTTTAAAGATTTGTCAATACCTTTAAGCCAATCTTCATGCATGTCTGATACTGAGCCAAGAATATCATTTGCTTCCTTTAGTGTATTTTGTGCTTGTCGTAAAGTATCCAATCCCGTACGTGCATTGTTTGCTATACGTCTTACAGTATCTATTTGACTCCTTGTTTCTTGCATCCAACCAGATAAAGTTTTAATAGTATCCGAACCATTTGAAATGAAGTTCAAAGCATTTTTAACGTCATTTAAAACTTCTTCACCAAGTACCGCCCATATCTTTCCGATTTGGTATTGAAGAACTCCATATGAAGCAGCTGTTAAACCAGTATTTATAAGGTCCCATATCCATGATTTAGCAGTTTTTCCATCCTTTCCATCCTTTCCATCCAAACCGTTTTCGCCTTGAGGTCCTTGTATTCCTTGTATTCCTTGTATTCCTTGTATTCCTTGTGGTCCTTGAGGTCCGGTGTCACCCTTCTCTCCTTTCAGTTCATCTTTATGTTCGTTATAATATTCTAATGTCATAAGGTGTACATCATTACTGCCACCAGCAACGCCAAGAATTTGTTTCTCATTCATGACTAAATTCTTTAAGCATTTAATGTTGTCGTCAAATCGAAAGCTCTTTAACAATTCAATGAGAACATTCAGTACTTTCACTAATGAGGCATCTACAGTAGAATTTATATATTGCACCGTTCCATCATTTATGATAGGAACTTTACTTATTGTAATGAATGGGTCATAAGTGTTAAAAGTATCGAAATCAATGACTTTTTTAGTTTTTCCATCGTCAATGACTAAATCATTGCCTTCAATGGTTAAAGTTGAGTTTTCGTTTACTAGTTCATGTGCTCTTCTTGCTTCATTTGTTTCATACGCATATGCAGCAATAGTCATATTTTAATGAGAATAAAATGTTGTTCTATTTGCAAAGTACAGACCCAAACGAATACGGGACAGTAAAGCTACAAACAAACTTAGGTCTTCAGAATGAAGCGCTTGCTTTCAGAGTTGTTGACTTCAATACTATCGCAACTTTTGTCATAACAGATGAAACAGATTTCATAGAGATTGAAATAGATGACAAAAGAAGTTTTATAACATTTCCTAACAGAGCAGAGTATAGAATAGATAAAATTGCTGGAGTCATAGATACTCTCATAAATGAAGAAACTATTGACAACATAGATGTCGAACTCTCTTCTGAGGGAACATTGAAGTTCAGTAGCAAGAAAGAGTTCAAGATAACACGAATGAGTCATAGAGTTCAACTTCTTTTAGGAGCATACCATATGACATTTCCTTTGAAAAGTGTTGACAAAACGATTGAGATGAAATCTGTTCCATACGTATGTTATGGCAATTGTTTATACATTGAGTCAAAAATAGCTAATGTCACAGGTATTTCAGGAGTTAATAGTAAAGGTTCAGTAGAATATAAATCTTCTGTTATGCAGTCAATTCAATGTTCATTCCAAACGTTCCTGTCATAGCAACTCATTTAGGTAAATGGGTTCGCATTAGTCCTCATAATTTGAAAGACATGCAATTCAGACTAGTTGACTTTCAAGGCGAGCCTGTAGAACTGAAGGCACCAGTGCGAATGACTGTTGAAGTTGACTTTTTAGAAAATATTAAATGCAACAGCTTACAAGAGAACTCAGAGCTAAAAATATAAAGTATGAATGTTATGTATTAGGTCATGAACTTTGGTTGTTGCTGTTTGATGAAACAAATGAGTTAGTTATGTCAGTCAAGAGAACAGAAAAAGGCGTCAAAGGCGCCGAGCGCAAAGCGCTATATTGTGTTAGTGAAAACTGCACCAAGTCAATAAGATTAGGTTTGCATTATGAAGATGAGTTCGATACTGTTGAAGAAGTTTTGGATAGATATTACAAATTGCTTTAATTTACTAAAACATATTTCAAGCAAAGTTTATATTCTGTTGAAAGTTTTGTATACTCGTTCGAATATTTATACTTAAACTCAACTCCTGTAGTTCCTGGTGTTTCAATGATGCGGATGTTACCTATTTTCATGAATAGTGGAGTTTGACCACAGCATTCGATTTCAGGGTCGAGATAGTCAATGACACATTGTTTCCCTGTTATTCGTGAGATAACATTTTCAAGGTCCTCCTTTGTTAGAATTATTTGGTTCTTGCTTATAAGATTTGTCAAAAGCTTCTTATCGTCTTTGAGTAAAATTGTTTGGTATAACTGAAGAAGGTAATGGTCTACGTTATCTGAAGGATTTGTTTGAACATTTGTGTAAGGGTTGTCGTTGGCTTCTCTTGAAAGAATTTGGTCCAGTGGTGGATACTCTAACTTAACATCTGATGTAGCGTTAGCGTTTGAAGCTGTTTAAATTCACGGATTTCAGCTCTGGTTCTGGCTTTTTCTTTCAAACACTCTGAACTATAGTTCTTTATGACAATATTGTTTGTCGTTCGTGAGTCAACATTTGATGTTGGTTCAATTGGAACATTAACGGCACCAGCTAAGATGGATTTGCTTCTCATTTCATATAGAATAAAAACCTTTTATATGTATGAAATGAACAATATACTCGACAAGGGTTTGAATGTAAAGCTAACGAATGAAAATATTGTTGAATTCACTGAGACAGGTGCTGTGTATAAAGATGTAGAACTACTGAACAAAAGAGCTAAGGGAAGAAGCAGGAACATGAACAAAGGGTGGAAGCCTATAAAAATTTATGTCAATGATGGCTCAGGAGGTTCAAACATAAAGTATGCAGAAAGTTATAGAGTTTATGCTCTCAAAGGTGAAAAGCCTTCATTTAAGAACAGCTATTCTAACGCATATCCTCAAAAGCTAACGGATGGGGAAGTGGATGATATGAATGACAGCAAAAATATTAACAGAAATGGCGACAGAGATGCATGGAATTTGTTTACCATCAGTCAATTGAAGGTTAAACTTTAAAACAATGTTGGTCGTTCCCATGGAATATTTTTGACTTTAATGGTATTAGTCATGATATGAATCTCAAGGTATGAACGAGGAGAGATGAGAGACTTATATGCTTCCCAAATTTCTTCAAAAGGTAATGTTATACCTGACTGTTTCCAAATGAGTTCAATATCATACGTGAGAAACCTTGAAAGATAACGAAGTCAGTTATGAGACGTTTTATGTTTAAAGCAAAAAACGCCATGTTTGCATAAGTATTGCTACAGTTAAGTGGTAATGTCTGACTTTAGTAATGATGTTAGCTAATGGTGAGTCAGGCTTTGACACTAAACCTTTTCCGGCGAAGTCGTCGCAAACGACAGAGTGTTTGAAGGATACTTTTTGAAGGGGTATTTTGAAAGTTTTGACAGAATGTAGTTTGTCAGTCGTTTCATATCGTAAACTCCTGAGTATTGACGTAAGTGGTGTTTGTCAATAATTCTTTCCATCTCTTCTGAAGTCTTTTGCATTCCTGACTGTATAAACTCAACGATGGCATAATATTTCCTCTTACGTCGAATGTAACGTTGAAGAAATTCAATGAGTTCACTGTCTGGAACTTTAACGACAGAGGCTTGAACTTTTGACATAAATGTTTTCGCTGTTGAGTCCATAGAGTCTGAAGTTGCTGATATAATGATTTGGTCATAGTAAGAGTCTTTCCTAAACGTTCTGTTATGAGTATATGACGAATGAGGTTAAATGTCTTACCTGAACCCATCTTTCCACAATAGAAATACACCATTTGAACAGAACTCATAGTCCTTACTGAAAGGAAGAATGAGAGAAAGTTAAGTTTGTACTGTTTCATTCATGTCTTCATCTACGTCATGTATTAAATGCTTCATTTTATCTCCATTAAAAATGCAAGTCAGAAATATTCAGAACATAGCACCGAGTCTAACTGACAAGAGTATAAAGATATACTATGAACACGTTATGATGAAACCTACCAAAATTCAAGAAAGTCAGTATACTTATGAATATCCAAGACACTGGGTAGAGTATGTAGGAGGTGAGAAAGCTATTGAAATCAGACAGTTAGAAGTATTCCAGCAGGAAGAACAATATTATTGAAGAACTTTAATGTTTTGAGGTATAATGATGAAACAAAGAAGCAAGATAGTTTTCCTGTTGCTGTGTATGTGAACCTAGACACAGGAGATGACATGAAAGTTTTTAACACAAAGCTTCAAACGGTAGTGAGAGAACAACTGACTGCGGAAGGACATCCATTACCTTCAGAAGTTACCATAGCATATAATTTTGAAACAAACTCAATAGATTTTAAAGTCATCTCTGCAAAGAAGTCAGGTTTTACATTTAATGAAGCAGATGTATATTCGAATGAAAACTTCAAAGCTATTGCATGGTTAGATAATGACGATTGCTTTAAGAAAATATTTAAATTCAGTGACTCAACGATGTCAATAGATGACCTTCGTGGAATGTTACCATCGACGTTTACAGTAGAAGGTTCAGCAGGATTGCTTACAAGATTGTCAATTGGTGGTATTTGGTCTCGTGAGAACATTGTTATAAAATCCAGTATAAGTGAATTTGCTGAAGAATCTATATTATGTCTTTCAAACTACATGTATTCGCCGCCGAAGCATTATAGTATAACAAACTTTGTCAGTAAGTTTAACATAAGACTTGTCGAACCTTCTTCAATGAAAGATGTTGTGCTACCTAAAGATGGAAAGGATGGACTCATTATTGAGATGATTTTAATAGCATATTAAATGAGCTTGTTCTTGAAGGTCATTCATGATGAAATAACTGTTGTAGAAGATGTTAGCAATTGTTCAGACATTTTGAAGCGTATAGATGAGATAAGAAAGAAGTTTATGAATGAGAATGTTTATGTTTCATTGACTTTCTCCAGTAACGAGAACTTTTATGAGATAATATTGAAGAGAGATGATTTTAATATGGTGTAAATGGTAGCTTGGGCAGCTTTAGGCGCAATGGGAACAAAAGCATTAGCATTTGGAGCAAAAGCACTTGGGCTTATGACGCAGTAAATAAAATGAGTGGAGGAAGGGTTTCGAAGACATTAGATGCAAATAAAGGAAGATTGGAGGCTGGGTTGCAAAGAAGTTAAGATTAAATAAAATAGGGCTCATAAATAAAGCATCCAATTTGGTTGCGACTGAGTCAGAAAATGCTTTAGGAAAGGACGATGAGTTTGCAAAACACGCAAAAGACTTTAATGACCAGATGAAAGGTGAAACAATGCATTTAAATAGATTCGATGGAACTAAAGAAAATGTTTCTTCTCCACCAGTAGTTCTTCCGTATGGTCCCTATGGAATGTATGGAAACCCTTACGAAAGACCATTTGACCCATTGACTGGTGGAAGTAACTGGTATCATTACGGACGAAGAAGAAAGACAGTCAAGTTGGAGACAGACGTGAAGAAAGCAACTAAAAAGAAACCAAGGAAGAGAGTTATAAAGCAATGAATTCAACAGGTTAGAAAAGAGGTTAGAAAGGTTAGATCTAACACTTCTACCCTAAATTTATTTTTGTGCTATGTTTTCATACGTGTGGGGTGGTGATATCATTAATTTTTTATTTTATTTTTAAGTTTATTTTTTATTTTATTTGGATGTAAATGACAGAACAAAAGCAACTCATACAAATCAAAACATATAACAAACATACATTTAAACATTTATTCTTCCTTCCTGAGCATAACATGTTCTTTCAAATACATCCGAGACCAGTTGACTTTTCATTGACTGTGTATAAAGATAGAAATAGTTATATCATTAAACCATACGATGACGAAGGTAAGTTATGTAAATTGTACGTTAAGAAGTTAGAGAAAGTTTATGGCTTCAAGTATGACTACAATAGGGTTAACACTGATGATGAAGATATTTAGGAAAATTTATGAGAACATTAGTGAAGTCGTTAGTGAGAACGATAGTGAGAACGTTTATTTTTACATTAGTGAGTTCGTTAGTGAAGTCATTAGTGAGGTGAAGTGGTTGGCGGCTTTGTAAATATTTAAGGTTAAGTTAATGTTGTCGTTTGTGTTGTAAAATATACGTTAATGTTAAGTTAGTGTTGTCGTTTGTGTTGTAAAAATATATGTTAATGGTTTTGTAAATATTTAAGGTTAAGTGGTGTACGGAGGCGCGCAGTGCCACAGTACACGACTTAACCATACTAACTTCTTCCGTGAAAAGTGCTATTGGTTTTGTAAACTTCTTTGCTTTCAATTCATCTGGACCGTCTCTGTCACCAGTATATTGTATTTGAACTGTACCAACAGTTGAAATACCACCCATAAAGTCTTCTGAGTCAGCAAATGGAATGCCAAGCCAAAAGTTTGAACGGTCTCCATTTGTATATTGAGTGTTTTGAGCTCCTGTATGAGTCCATACTTTCACATATGGCATAATAGAACTTTGCATTTCAGGGTTAATGGTTGTTGTGAAGTTGTTGTTAAAGTTCATAGCATCTAATGTCAAGTTGTATGACCTCATATCCTCAACTGTAGAATATCTTCTCTTGGATAGTATTTGCCATCTATGTTTATATGGTATTTAATACCGGGGTTGTAGAAGCAAGAATAGTCATTTATAGTTCGTCTGAACAGTACAAACATAGTATCTGCATGTTTCATTGCAGTTGTTAAGGCAATATCTGTTCTTGCACCTGGGTCAGCACTTTGGTTTCCAACTTCACCTGCAAAGTCTTTGACAGATATTTGGTGTATAGGGAACATAGTGGAACTGCAATATATTTGGCAGCTAAAGCATTTGAAATATCTGGGTCCAACATATAGACTGCAAGTCTTTCTATTCTCTTGCATTCAAATTTTTCGCATGTGAACTTAACTGGGTCCCAAGCAGTTCCAGCAGCATTGAGTAGTAGTTTACTTCAGTGTTGAGGTTTGAGAAACCAAAGTCTAAGTCAACTTTGTCTTTGCAAAATTCGGCGAAATGACGTTTGATTTGCTCCCTTTACGTCTGTAAGAGTGAATGGGTCTTGTGTTGGTGCAATGACTAAGTTATTTTTGCTTGGAGTAAGTTCGATAGAAATTTTTCCTGCCCAGTTTGGCAAGTATCTTAAAAACCTGAAGATGAGGAAAGATGACAAAGGAACTCTAAGTTTCAATTTTACTTTGTTACTGCTGCTGCAGTTTGTCCAGAAAGGTTAACATAAACTCCTGGAACGTTAGGGTCAAGTCTTCTTATTTTCTCAATAGTTGCATACTGGTCTGTTTGTTCTCTAGCTTGTGGTTGTACTGAGTTTCTCAAAGCGAACCATTCATAGTTTGCCCATGTTACTGTTTGAACTAAGTCAGAGTTAGAATATATCTTATATCCCATGAAAACTTCTGGAGCATATTGGTATCCGACATAGAAAATTCCATTGCAACCTTTCTTGTCAGACAACTTGGCAGAAGGTTTTATTTCAATGTCTTGTTCCACGTATAAGAATGAGTTGTCAATAGAAATTATATGAAACCTGTCGCAAGCAATATCTACTGTTGTTGAAGAACCTTCTCCAAACTCACCTACGTTTCCATAAGAAATAGCAGTTGTATATTCGTAAGTTCCAGGAACTATTTCTGACCTTCTAATGGCATTGTCGCATTCGTTATACCATTCGGAAACATTTCCATTCATAGCATCCAAAACTGTTGGCGTTATATTCTGAGCGGCGTACATTTCATATGGGTAAAAATATAGAATAGTTGGATTATGTCATAATAGAACCCACTCCGACCAAGCTTTACTTTCTTCCTGACTGAGTTTTTAACTCTTCTTTTTCCTTCATTGCCACTACTTTCACTAGATGAAGTTACTTCTTCACTACTTTCACTTTGTTCTACTCTTCTTCTTTGGTGTCGCTTTGGTAACTTGCCCTCTGCTTCAAGTTGTTGCATCTTTGCCTCATGTTCACCTAGTATGTTGTAAATTTCCCATGTCCTTTTTGCCTTTGGGCTCTGGTCGCCCATCTCAGGTAACCTATATCCTAGAAAGAGTTTGTCATAGTTTGTATTTGAGTCGTTGCGTATTGTTTGCATGACTCTTTCCTGAGTTTCCGGTTCAAGCTCTTCAAACAGTGCCTGTCCATATGGAATATGCTCGTTTCCAAATATATGTTTTTGTAGCCATTCTGGTTTTCTTTCCATGTTACCAACAATATCCTTTGTGAATGGGAAAGCTTCTACCCAATCTTTCAGTCTTGCGTCGTTTATTTCTGTAGTTGGTTTTATTTTGTCAAGGAACATGTTTTTCAATACTAACATTTCATTTGGTACTGTCCAATTGAGTTTTCTTAAATATTCATCCCTTCTCGGTTCATTGTCTGCAAAGTAAGTTTTTATGACATTTTGTAAACTTTCGTTTGCAAGGTCATGTACAATAGGTTCTCTTCCTTCTCCCTCCCTAACTTTCTTTCTAAACTCTTCACCAAATATACCATCTCTATGGTTCTGTGTAGTTCTTTGAGATAAATGTTCTAGAACGTCAGGTGTTATATTTCCATCAGCCATGTTCATTTCATACTGGTCCAAAATATCTGCATGTTTCATATCTTTCAATGGCATTAAAGCCGCGCTTAAAATACCAGCTATATCTCGTTCACCATTCAATTCCATTGCGTCTACAACTTCTTGGAATTGTGGTTGTAAGTTTATGAACCACCTATCCGGGTTAGCTTTATGACCCCATCTCATTGTAGTTCCATCGTCTGCAGAAACAAAAGTAGGTTTGTTTCCATCTTGGCTAGGTTCTGAATGAACTTTAAACAATGTTTCATTTCTATATGTTTTCTTGAAATTTAACCTTTTATTTTCACCGAGTTCATCCGAAGATTGAACGTTAAATGCTCGTAAGTAAAAAGGGTTGTTGTATTTGTGTACATTTTCTTTCAGTACTTCCATTCTATGCTGAATATTTTCATCTGGTGTTGGAGTCTTTTGTATGTCGGCAAACATTTTTCGATATTCTTCTACTATGTCAGCCGAATTTTTTTTAGACTCTTGGAAATATTCCATATTCTCCGCATACTCTTGTTGAGGGTCAAGATTTTTCGGCTGTTCCAAATCTTCATCTAGTTCTGTGAAGTTAGTTTCCAAAGGAGTGACTTGTTCGTTTCCTTCAGGCTCTTCTAGCTGTTGTTGCTGAACTATTTCTTCCATGTCTGGTTGTATCTGAACTATTTCTTCCTGTGGAGTTTCTTGTACCTCATCTGCTGGCATTTCATATATTCCGAGACCGTTTTCAACAATTTCCCTATCTACGTCATCCGCATTCATAAGCTTTTGTTCTTTCGTTCCGTCTCTATTTTTTACGCGTTTCATGACGAAAGTTGAATTGTCATTTAGCTCTGACATCAAATATCTCGGAGTAAATTCATCCATGTCATTTGGATGATATGCTATTAAATCATATCCCTTAGCGAGCTTGTATTTTCCAGGTTTGAGATTATATCCGTTTTGGTGCTGAGCCATAAAGCTAAATAGGTTCGGGTCAGTATTTCCATCCTTGAACTTTCTAATAGCTTCTTTATATCTGTCACTAAAGTCAACAGTATCTGGGAAACCACACTCTTCGTTAAGCATTTTTAAGAATTCTTGGTTTCCTTGTTCTCTACTTCTTTTATGTCCTTGCTCTGTTTGTGGTTGTTGTTGTGCAGGGTTTTGAACTGTTGGTTGTGCTGGATTTTGAACTGTTGGTTGTTGTGTTGGTTGTTGTTGTTGTTGTTGTTGTGCAGGGTTTTGAACTGTTGGTTGTTGTGTTGGATTTTGAACTGTTGGTTGTTGTGTTGGTTTTGGTGCATGCCTGTGTCTGTGTCCATGTGACGATGTAAATGTTCTAGGTAGTCCTGGTGCAGGTGCTTCTCTTGGAGGGTTTGGTGGTATATAAGTTCCACCAGCTGGCACATATGTTCCATCTGCAGCGTAATGTCCTACCTGACTTTTCGTTCTTAAGAAAGCATTTACTAGGTCTGTTTTGGTCTGTTGTAACTCTTTTTCTTGACTTTTCACAACAGTTGCTCTAACGGCGTCATAGGCACTTTGAACTGCCTGTCTCGTTGCTGCATCTGTTATTTTCGTCATATTTTGTGCTACTTCTTTTAACTCTTTGTCGAAACCTTCAGACTTCAGTTTCTTTCCAGATGAGAAGTCGTTCACTTGTTTCACCTTACTATGAAGAGCTTCGAAAGCGTTCTTAAAGTCAGCATTTGTTAAAGCTTCATTTGAACTATCTTCATCCGCTTGTATTTTTGTCCTTATTGACCCTATGAGTTGGGCTGCTTTAGCGTTGGCTTGGGCATCTAACCAGTCATTGTTAGCTTTTATATATTCTGCGCTTTTCATTGCCTTTTGCATAGCCGCGTCGTTATTTTTACTTTCTTGTGCTAAGTTTTCATACTGTACGGTTTGGTTTTGCAACTGTAAAAGTTTTTCTGCCTTTACATTTGCTTCAACTTCTTTTTTATACTCATCGCTATCCATATATGTCTTCAGGGCTTTTTGTTTTATCTCTTCATCTTTCAGTATTTTATATTGAGTAGTATGGTTTTTCAAATTTAAGACATCTTGTTCCATTTTTGCTACTTCTGCTGCTTTTTCTGACACTTTTTTCGCATATTCCTCTGTACTTAGTTCTTTCAGTTGTTCTTCTTTCTTCTTTTTCTCTACGTTTAACTCATTGAGTTTCTTTGTGTGTCTGTCATATTCTAGTTTCTTTTCGTTTTCACTTATTTGCTTCTGTATGTCTATGTTTGACTTTTTGACATCTGTTATTTGATTTTTGAGTGAACTCAAATTCATTTGACTTTGAGGGTTATATGCTGTTCCGTCTGCAGCTCCACCATAGCCTGCCATTTTCGCTAAAAGTGCCGCTCTTAAACCTCCACTCTGTGCACCAACAACTCGGTTTAAAAGCATAGGATTGCTTGACATTTGTTGCAACATAGTGGGGTCATTCAGCATTTGTTGTTGCAACTGTTGTTGTGGTGTCAGTCTTACTATTGGATGTTTCAATGCTCTCTTCCTCTTACGTATATTCTTACGTAGCTTACGTGGCATTTTAAGTGAAGTTAAAAAGCGGCTTTTGACAGATGTTTATATGACACTTTTTGTTCAGCACAAAAAACTACTCGGTCAAACTGTTGTCAGTTTTGTAAAATAACCGTCCTATCTCATTCTATAAGGGGAAAAGGCTTCTCAAAGTATACTTCCTTGAAACGCCTGTAACTTTTCCTGTAGCGACGATAGACCCTTACTTGTCCGGACAAAGTTATACTATTTTGAGTGCTCTACAAAAAAAGTCAACGGCGACGACTCTCAAAAACCGTTGTGTAAAAAGTTTTACCGTTGGACAAAAAAGTATATATAGAAAACAAAAAACGTTTATAGTTCATTCAATATTTGAGATGGAACGGTTTGCCAACGGTAACTATTAAATAAAATAAAAAAATAGAGGGGGTTACCGTTGACGAAAACGGTTTATTTTAAACTCTTATTTGAAAAAATAAAGTGGTTGGTCTTTTTCACTTCATTTTAGCTCAATGTCATACCAAGACAGTAGCGATTCCGATTCAACTATCCAGGAAGAGGATTATCATCCTACACGGTCACTCCCAGTCCCAGATGACACTCCAAAGACTCGCTTTGACCCCGAGCAATCTAACTTCCAATTGCGCCAACAATTGCAGTCAAAAGCTGATGAATACATGGCTTCTTCTATAGAAGAAAGTATAGAACAGACCTCAGAGTATTCTACAGCTCTTGGTCAACTAGTTTCGGCGACAGTCCAATTCGAACAAATTTGTTCGAATTCAATTCAATATGCAGACGAACTTGTCCGCTATTGTCCCACTCTTGTAAGAGTACTTCAAGAACGACTCTTCAACCAGTTGCTTCCTACCTTACGCAGCCCAATTCAAATTCAATTTGCCCGTGCAGCCATAAACTTCACTCCGTACTCGTACAGCTATGACCAGGATGAACTAGCTGACGAGTACGGAGCCGAAAATGTTGGCTGGGTTTTTCGCACAACTCCTTGCGAATTCCAAGTTGAAATTGTCAACCATTTCCTCGTTCGTACTATTTCGTTACAGAATGAAGACAACGAAAAAGATGGAGTCATTCCAGGTGACCGTGTGAGAGTCATTTTCCAACGCAAAAGTGGACAAGAAATTGTATTCGAAGAATTGGTTTGCATATTCTTTAGCAATGGTCAAGCCTACTGGGAAGGAAACTTGGTATTAGTCCCCGGTGAAACCATTTCTGTTTCATCGGATTTGAACCATCCATACAAGATATGGTTCAATTACGTTGCATATAACGCAGAAGACCCGAACTTTGACTCAGAATAAAAACTTCATTTATACTAAACATCTTCGGGGCTAGAAGGGGCGCAGCCCCTGGAAGCCCCACTCCCTTTTTTTTTTTTTTAGAAATTGTCGAATTTGATCTTAATTTTTTTTTGAAAAATATACTTTTAGAAAAAGAAATAGTGATTGAATAGCTGCCCATGCTGTAAAAGGGTTATTTTTACAAGTAAAAAAATTGTTATTTTTCGAGCAAGTCGAGGCTTTTTTACCATCTTATTTTTGAAAAATTTACGAAAAATTATATCTGAAAAAACGCTTCATTTTGATATCTTACAATGATAAAATACCAATATTGCTGGGATATAATAGCTACACCTGGACATCTACTACATTAATGCGTATGACAGGTAATGTTGATTTCAAAAGTATAGCCTGGAAAGATTACAATAAATCAACGATAATTCAAAAAAATTTCTTATAAGTTAACATAATAAAAATTTAATTTTTATATTGCTTGTATTATACTTAAGTATATAATATATTTAAATCTTAGAATGAAAATTCGGGACGCCCTAGCTATTCAATTTTCCCTTAGGACGCCCATAAACCTCTCAAAAATGTGATGTAAATATCACAATTTTGAGAAATTTACACTAGGACGCCTTAGGACGCCAACCCCCTTTTTTACCAAAAAGATTAAGAGGTTAAATTTTGATCCTGCATTTTCTTTTGGGAATCATAAGAAATCATGTGATAGTAAATATCACGGCTATTAAAGTAGATTTTGTTAATTATGAAATTTCATATTAATTTTTTTTTTCTTGTATTCACAAAGCATCAAAAGACTTATAAAAAAATAACAAGAGAAATCAACAAGAACTTATTCTTTTTATTTTTGATCAAAAATATCATTTTTGAAAAAATTGTATTTGTAAGAGTAGTGATATAACGAACCAGTTTATTTCTTATGCTTGGCAGCAGCCTTTTCCTTCTTAGCCTCACGGAAAGCCTTGAGTTTATCTGTCTTCTCCTTGAAGAGATCCTTCTTGGCCTCTTCAGCCTTGATAACACGGAACTTGATTTCGTTCTGAGCCTTTGGAAGAGCGAAGAGGGCAGCATCGTTAACCTGCTCGACTGTCTCGCCCTTCTTTACCTTGATAAGGCGAGCCTTGTAAGCCTGAAGGCGTTCAACGTTCTGCTTAACCATAGCATCCTTTGAGTGGGCACGGCGAGCATCAACAGCAATGCCCTGGAAACGAGCAAGAGCTGGATCGAATCCGGCAGCGACGAGTTCCTTTGGTGTGAAACCACGGCCTAAACGTGTCTTCATGTTGTAACGAACTGTTGGGCAGCGGACGATTGGGCGGAGTGGGCCTTCAGCTGGACGTGGGGCAATCTTCTTAGCGCGAAGGTTGCGAGCGTTACGACGACGCTGAGCACGTGCTGGATCGTCAAAGAATGTCTTTACACGGTGATACCAGTATTTACGGAGGTGATCATTAGGAATCTGGTTGTTCTTAGCTACCATTCGAAAGGCCGACCAAAACCGCATAAACCGTAAAATCGCTCTGGTTAGATTTTGAACTTACAAGTATGATTTTTAGATATGACATATATTGGTGATGATGAATAAATTTAAATCAAGGGCTTTTATTTTTTGGAGTGATTTTGATCCAAAATTTCATTGAATATTTATTGCTTCTGATCATAAAAATAAATAGTTTATGATATGATAATATCTTTTAAATAGGTATTTTGTATGTAGCTCTTCGAGAATACTCCGAATCACACAATTTATAAAAAACTGGTAACAATAAGAATTTATACTATTTGATTAAATGTAATTTGCTTCAAAAGACATTTTTTATTATAAATTGATAGATAAAAAAGTTAATTCAATCAATTTGGAAAGGTAACTAAACTCCTTTCGCCGATCCGATTTGCCCCATATTTAAAATATAGCTTGCATATGTAGAAGAAAAGCTAATTTTGAAGTACGCCCGAAATCCACCAACAGGATTTCGAGCTACTAAAAAGGTACTTTTAAATGTGATTTTTTTTATAAAAAATTAAATTTATTTTAAGATCAGACTAAAAACTAATTTTATGGAAAATCTATATCGACAAATTTATTACTTATTGGGTATATAGATTTTTTGATTATGGCGATTATGTCTGATATGCTTCCAATAAGCCAAAACACATTTCATACTGATTTCTATAAAAGGTATCTTTATTATAGAAGTGTAAGCTATATCTGTTTGTTTTTTTATTATAACAAATTCAAAATTCTCTTATAAGGACTAGATGAAATCTGTATTATTAAATCATTAGCTAAATGAAGGTTCAAATAGAAAGTAAATATCAATTTATATGATACTGAAACCAAATAGTTCTTTTAATAAAAGATAACACGCTGAAAATTATTGAGTATTTGCAAATCTCAAAAATCTATTGGTGAATTTGGCTCAACTTTTAAAATTATAACATCCATATCAAATCATAAAAGCAGACAAAAATTAAAGCCAAACCTATCGGCCAATTTTTTTTTGATATTTTGATTTTTGAGGTATACTTTTAAAAGTGGATTTAAAGCACTGATGAAAAAACATTAACTTCTGTCGTTATGATTATTGATTTAGACAATAATGATTTTAATCTTTGATTATCAAAACACTAAAGTCATCTTTTTAACATTTGCTTGGTAGCATTAACTCAAGTCTAAAGTACTATTTTATGTGGCACTCTTAGAATTTTTGTATTCATTGTACACGCTGAAATAGTACCATTAAAGTTATGGCGGACTTTCAAAAAATAGTTTGGTCACCTTTTCAATTTGGGGAACATTATAATCTTAGAGGGAATGAATACACCATATCACCATCTGGAATGGAAGTGTTTCATACATTGCTCATAGAGAAGAGATTTTTTATATTGGAAGAACTGATTTCATAATGATTTTTCGATTCGACACTTTTTGTTTCAAAAGATGGGTTCTTGGTTTTCGATTGATTATGGAAGTGTTTCTGCAACAACAATTGGAATCCAAGCTAGTGAAGATGGCTACAATGTTTTAGTTATTGATAAAGGCGGATTTGTTTCCGTAAAATCGATTAATAACAACAATTCTACGCATACACTCAGTTTAATACCATCATCATGGTGTGTTTCGCCAAGAGGTGGCTGGATTATAGGATTCAAAAACGGAACAGTTTCTGAATTTGATCTAAACTTGAATTTATTACAATCTTTTACAACACCGGGAGCATCCAAAGCTCACAAAGGTGTTGTGACACAGCTAGTCCCAACAAAAGATAAAAATACTTTATTTATTTCAACAGGAGAAGATAATACGATTAATTTCTGGAATTACAATGGAATACAAACCTTGACATTACCAATATCTGCTAAGATCACTGCGATGTGCATAGCCAATGATAAATTATTCACTTGCGATACAAGACAAAAGGTTTCTGTGATTGATTTAGAGACAAGGAATAATCAAACATATAATTTGCATTCAACAGTGAGTTACATAACCCCTATCCCAGGTTACAAAGGCTGTTTGGCCGCTTTATCCAATGGTCAGGCAGTAATTTTGTCAGAAAAGGATTTAGTTGCACAATTTTCGTATAACAATAATACTCCGATTGCAAATCTTACTCCACTTCATGTTGATCGACAAAATGGCTTAATTACTTTTTATTGCGTCAATGAAAAAGGAGAAAACAGTTTAAGATGCTTGGAATACGAAATCAAATCGAAATCAAAGTCGAAACCTTTCTTTTCTGTAACGAATGAGTTTCTTTTTACTACATCAGGCGGAAAAATAGTTAGATACTCAATTTCTGCTTTGGCAAAAGAGTCAATGTCAGGACATCCACAAATTGACCTTCCAAGAACTCAAATTGCTAAATTTTTCAATAAATAATAAATTATTTTGTTTGTTTGTTATAAATACTTAAAGAATTAAACATATTATAATCTACAAAAATATATTTTGCTTATTACACAATAATACATGAAGTTGGCAGTAAATCTCAACAAAACATTGCAATTCTGGAAAAATTATCAATCATATTGGGTTAAAGTATGATATCTATTTTTATTCAAACACTTTGAACATAGTTATGATCAAAACAAGTTTGTTATTAATCAATATTTGAGATATATCATAGAATTTGTAATCTAATGTTATTGGAGTTTGTCTGATGTTGTTCAGCCATTATTATGATATGCTATTGGTCAGGCAATATCTCAGTAAACTCATATTTGACTTTCTCATTTAATCCTTGCCATGTAAATCATATTTTACATGTCAATTTGCAATTTTTTCTCAGAATTTTGGAATGACTGATGAGCAGCTCAACAAATTGAACGAAATAGTTGAGACTGCGATAAATCAGCCAAACTCACAGGAAAATATAGTTTTAATGAATCAAATACAAAAAAATCCAGAAAATATCATCACATTTTTTACTTATTTAGACAAAGTGAACGATATAAGGAAAATCAGCATAACACTAGAGTTTCTGAGAAATTCCCTTTATAATTTAGACTTTTCTATCTCAGAAACTTATACAAATCAGTTTTTAGGACAAATTTTCATGTTTATTAACAAAAATATCTCACATATCAATCTAAATGACTCAGTATTCAACTTGATTGCTTCAATTATTGCAGTATTACTCATTTTTTATGCAGAAAATAAACAATTTCAAGAAACATCGGGTTTAGTCAAAGTATATGATCTGACATCCACTGAAGTACCAATAGCGCAGAAGCTTGCTTATAGAACATTCCAAGAATTCATAAGAATTTTTAAAAATTTCGAATTTAATGTTACAAATTTCGATTTTATCAAAATTAGGAGCAATTTTTATAAATTATTTTTACCAAAAATGCTCGAGGTCTCTATCAAATACATTGATCAGCCTTTGCATCCTGTTCTTCTTGATTGTTTGAATTTATTCAAAGATTGCTTGACATTTCACAAAGATTCCAACGAAACAGAAAAATTGTATACGTACTACCCATTGGTCTGGTACCAAAACTTCGAAAAATTCAAAATTATCGAAAAATTATTTGATATTGTATTTAACAGCTCTTCAGATGCTGTATTACTTTCACTTACAATCCTTAGATTAATAATATCTCATCCTTCCAAAGAAATTCTGAAAGAAAAATTAAGATATTTGGTCACTTCATTTACGCTTGGATTAAATCAATATTTTTCACGTGACATCAACAGGGAATGTTATTTCCATCTTTCCAGGATTATTTCGAAATTTGGAAAAATTATTCCTCTCCAACAGTTTATTTCTTTGAATTTTGCTAAGACATTCTTCGATAACGTGCTGGAGTTTACAAAAATCTCACTTTTGTCCATTGATTTTAACAAAGACGCAAGTTTGGACATTTGCAGAAATTTACTCCAGTTCTGGGGCTCAATTTCGATATCTGCCACCAAAATACAGAAGGCTACAATGTTTAACAATTATTTCGACCAAATTTATACAAATTATTCTCAAATTTTATTTTCAAAATTTTATTCCGACCAAAACGCATGCAATACATGGATTTTAGAACCAGAATTAACAACAGAAGACTTTGCTCCCTTATTCTTGATCTTACAAGCTAATCCTGCCCGTTTTACCTCTTTTGATCAGAGATTTAAGACATTTTTGACAAATATCAGAGACAGAGTTAACGTAGAGTACTCATTTATTGCCTTGGCGATCAATATTTTGATCATTTCAAGCAGATTTAACGTGAAATACACTGATGACTACTTATTTTTATCCCCTAAGCATGATAAGCAGTGCAATCAGTTCAAACATTCACTGATAAAGTATGTACTTTCAACAATTAACATAATTCAGCCAGTATTACCTCAAATAAGAAAATCTTATGAAATTTTTGGAAGCTACATCGTTTCTTCGATCTTACACTTTATCAGATCTGCAAAACAAGACATTGCAAAGCTCCAGCCAGAGTTTCAATCAATAATTGTTGAATTTTTGATAAATTTGTTGAAAATTTACCAAGAAAACGGTGTTGTTGTCCAACTTACGATCAGCATCATCGTAGAGTTATCAGATATCATAAACAGCCCCAAATTATTTGATATCTGCAATTCGAACGTCCAAATTCCAGTTGACAAGAGAATTGACCTTGAAACTCGTTGCGAAATCATTTATTTACTGCACAAGACGTACTCAAAGAACATCAAAACCCAAAAGAAGCTGAATCAGCACTTGTTATTTTTCGAAAAGAGATTCGACCAATTAATCAATATGAATTGGTCAGAAAGAGATAGCACTTTATCGTTTTTGTATTGTATCAAAGGTCTTTTCGATGGCTGTCAAAATTTTGACACTTTTTGTAAAGTGTTCGAATGGATTTTGATCAATTATTACGATTTAATGATCAATTTACTCAATACATACAGCGACGATGATGAAATTTTCGAAATTGTTTTGAAATTGTTCAAATATTTCACATTTTGCTTCGAAAAAAGAATTGTAATGAATCCAACATCATATGAGTTCTTGACATTGATGAATGGATTCGCTAAGATTAGCAAAATCCTCGCTTTGAAAGCTGAAACAAAATTTTTATCTTTTAGATTCATTTATACGTACATTATAGCTCACAAATTCAATTTCTCACTCACACACTACTTTGAGGACCAAACTTTTGCAGAAATAATTGATCTTTTCTTCATAATTTTGGATAAAATCAAAATTGATGAACTAGACCAAGAAATTGTCATGGATATATTTGCAATATTAGATCTGTTCCAAGATTTGCACCAAGATCTACTCTATCCGTTTAAAATCAGATTTAATATCGTTATCTCCTTTTTGAAGAAGGCTTTAGACGAAATATCCGGTCCAGTAAGAGTTATTAATGCAATCCTTTCATATTTAGGAAGTGTTTCTCATAAAGCTTCAAATGAACAGTTAGATTTAGTTTTTAATAAGCTGAAACCATTGTTTATCATCACATATGATAAATTTATACGGAACCGTGCATACTCTGCTTCTTATTTCGCTGATTTCTTCTTCTATTTTTCAATGAATAATTTAGAATACGTAATTAGCATGTTTGAAGCTCATTTACGTCCTTACCATGATGATGCATTTAATATTGAAGGAATTTATAATGGTTTTGCTGAAAATTTGAGAAATCTTCACGAAAAAATGGACGAAATTTTCAAAAACCAAGGTCCTTACTTTATCCAAACACCACCAAATATCGCAACAGAACTAATTGATCTAAAAGAAAAGATCAGAAGGACTCCTTTCACAAATTCAACAATTGAAGCACTTTTAGCAGCTCTTAATGATGAAAACACCATGAATAATAATGAAACAACTTAATATAATATATTATATGTATTTGTTTTTGATAAATAAAATTTAAGGTTAAGAATTTTAACCTTTTGTCGTGTCAGGTTTCGCCGATTTGACGTTTTTGCCGAAGACCTCACAACACATCATACTCCCTCTGTATAAGCTGGCATAGAATTGGAAAAGGAATTTTAATATTCTATGTTGGAAAAACAATGTAATTTAAAAGCATCAGACCCTGTTTTACCTATTTGTATCATACCAATGGGAGTGCAAGAGTCAAAGTAAAAATGTAGATTTACCTGCTGGCCGCCATCTTATAAAGATCCAAGGTGCAAGTGGTGGTCGAGCTTGCTATTCGAATGACCCTGCCGGAGAAGGCGGAAATGGTGCTTTGATTCGAGGTTATATCGATGTTAAAGGTAGTATGACAGTGACGTTCAATGTTGGCGAGAGTAAAGAAGCCAGTTGCAATAGTCGCTCAACAGGCGGATGGCCTGATGGCGGCGATGCAGGTGACGATACAGAATGGTTTAAGACCCCAGACGATTATTCCGGAAGTGGGGGTGGATCTTCTGAAGTTAAAGTTGCAAATACTGATATTACCATCATGCTTGCGGGCGGCGGCTCAGGAGGCTGTGACAAACATAAAGGAGGCCCTGCTGGTGGAATTGGGTATCATCTTGGATGGACTAGCAATACAAATGTAGTTCGAATTGAAGAAAGCGGCTCTTCGAGAACAGGAGGTAAAGGAGTAGATTCAGACTATATACCAGGAGCTGGTGGGGGCGGTGGATGGCGTGGAGGCCCAGGAGGTAGATGGGCTGACACAAGTCCTTGGAAAGCTTGTGGCTACGGCGGTTCTTCATTCATTAACAACTCCATAGTTACAAGCCCTGTGATTTATGATGGTACAGAAACACAATACACTGGAGATGGATGTTTTTCTGTTGAAACTGTGTATAATTGTACCTCCAATTGTTATTCTTGCTCCAGCAGTTTTATTTGTGATCAATGCATCCAAGGAACAAAGATGTACAACGGAAGATGCTACGGACCATGCGATCAAACTACAGATGCGACATATGATACAGGTCGCGGTACTTGCGAGCGATGTGACAGCAGCTGTAAGACATGTAATGGACCTAGTTTCACACAATGCACTTCATGCCCATCAGGAAAGATTTTGTGGAACAATATATGCATTCCACCAACACCTCATTCTAATCCTTTATTAACCCCATATAAATTTGCATTCAAGATACGCTCACTTTTTATCATTAAAAAATTAAAACTACTAGGGCACTTGCTCTCTAGATAAACACTTTTCGTATTTCTCCATAGAAATACTAATCCATCATTTTGAACGAATTGATCAATAAATTGCAGTCATTATACCTCATTAATTCTTTACTCGTCAATATAATATTTAGGTCTGCTTCTATAATATTACAATCATAAATAATGCAAATCCTCATTAAGAGTACACTTACGCCCATACCTCATTAAATCAAAGTTCAGAAAGTTGGGTTTTCCTAGAAGTGCAAAAAATGCGCATTTTTCAAAGGCGCAAAATATGCGCAGATTCAATTTTAAATAATCGTTATTGCGTATTTTTTGCACCCCATGTAAAACCCAGAAAGTTTATTTTTTTTACTCTTTTCATTTATTTTTGCATCATGTGAAAGAAGAAGTTCAGCTGTTTTGCTACGATTATTAAATGTAGAATAATGAAGATAATTTTCTCATCTTTATCACTTTCATCGACATTAGCACCAAGCGAAAGAAGAAGGTCGGCAATTTCAATACTATTATATAATGCTGCACATTGAAGAGCGATGTATCCATTTTGACTTTTTTCATTAATATTTGATCCATACAAAATAAGAAATTCGGCTATCTATTTACTATTTATAAAGCTATATTATGCTGAGCAGTATATCCTTATTTACTCATTTTATTGGCATTTGCTACATGTGAGATAAGAAGTTCTATTGATTCTTTACTATTATGCATTTCTGCATTCTGATGGACAGAATATTCATTTTTACATTTTTCATTTAAATTTGCGCCACTTGAAGTAAGAACTTCAACTATTTCGATAGAATTATTATCGACTGCATAACGATGAACAGTCCATCCATTTTGACTCTTTTCATTTATATTTGCACCATGTGCAAGATGAAGTTAAACTATTTCTTATATATATATTTTGCTGCAAATTGAAGAGCACCATGAAACAGGAAATATTTACAAAAGGATGGAATATCAAATAAACAAAGCATTATTAAGACCCCTTATTTGATCAAAATAAACCAATAATATAGTTCAAGATTAATATCAATTCGTAATACTTTAAATTGAACTATATATTGTACTCATTCATCATATGTTACGAAATCAATTTTATATGGAATTCCATACATACGCTCACTAACGATTTCTTCCTAAAAATGAAAAAAAGTTAACAGTTTCAGTTTTTTCTGATTTAAACATGATCTCTTTGACACGATAATCATCAAAAAAAGTTGAGCCAGATATAGATATGACTTTGCATACAGATTATTATACCGAATGATATCTGAACTATCTTGTATAATAGTACTTCGAATCAATCATTTCTGTCTTGATCATTATGTAAATCGATTTTAATTCTTTTTCATTATTGGTTTTCAGCTGATGTGACGCATTATCTGTATCAACGCAGTATTTTTAAATACTTTGTAATTCACTGTATTTATTTGATTAGACATGAAAAATTTTAACTTATATTTTTGAAATTTACCATATACAATATCTATAAAATCCATTAGGTAAGGAAAACTCTATGTTATTAATGGGAAAAATAGTGAAATTTGTGGATTTTCATTAATTTCAAAAATATGAAATGACACAATGACAAATCATGTTGATAATATTTAAAAGCAGTAAATTTGTGCTAAAATCTTCTCAAGAAAAGCCTTTTGAAGAATATATTCGAAATCAATTACTTAAAAACAGACAACTGCAAGAAATTTAGATCGTTATGAGTGCAAGTCATCTTTGTGACACTTTTAGAATAAAATAGACTATTCAATGATCATATGATTTGGTTGATTCAAAGGGAAAAGTCTATCATATCAATTCATACGAAGATTTGAAATACCAAACTACTTTCAATAGATACGCTTAATGTTGCATTGAATAAAATAATGGAAAACTCATGATTTCAAAATTGAACTCATCTTTAATATATGAAATTATTGATAAACATTATGTAAAAGAAGAAATATGTAAGGAATAACCAAAGAATATATTTTTTTCTTTCCGAAAAAAAATTTTACCATAATTTAATGAGAAACTAGCCAATTACGATAAAATTAATATTTAAAGTCTTATTATGATCTAGATATTACAAAATCATGAGCCTTTTCAGTCCATTATTTTTTAGTAGTATATGTTGAAGGGTTGTGTGACTTTTTTTGTAAACGTAAGAATTCATGCAATATTGAGCGATTTTGTATCATTTTTTTTAACATATGAAGTAAAAAATGTATGATTCTTACGGTTTTTATTCTTACGTTTTTGAATAAATCAAGATTTAAAAAATTTTCAAAATTGTAAGACATTTACACTCAGCCCATACATAATGAAATAAAAAAATAAAAAATTAACATTAATTTTAAAATAATTTATTTCATCTTTTATAAAAGAAGCTATATATAGATGATGTCAGATATTCCGCGATTAATTAATTATTTTTGAAGAACTGAAGGTGTCACTACGTCACCATGTCACCAGGTTAATTAACTTCTCTTAAAAATGATGACAACATGACATTTTGACAACAGGTATGAAAGGAGGTATAAATATAATGGAGTCATAATCAAAGACCTCATAAACGAGAAAAAGAAATTGAAACTAATGATTATTTGAATTTATGAAATCAATTATTTGATTCATTCTTTCTTCAATCTCTTCTATTCTTTTTGTTAAATCATCAATTTTCATTAATGAGGTGATTCTTGATTGAGGAATAAATTTCAAACTAACCACCCCCTTTATTTTTGAAATTTTGAATCCATCAACTTTAAACATTTTATTCAATTTACATGTTGTCAATTCTTCAAATAATTTTTTATTATTAGCATAATAGTCATTAAATTCTTCAACAGATGAAAAAATTTTTATTTCAGTAATTGGTTTAACAACGTTTATTTTTTGTTGAACATTTTCACTTTCATTTATTTCTTCCTCCTCTGTTTCATTTATTTTTAAAATCGGTTTCATTTATTAATAAATAAAAATTAGAATATAAGTGATGAAATATATTTTTTAATTAATATTAAATCAGAAATGGCGGCAGGATTCTTTAAAAAATTATGGGATGGAATTAAGAAAGCTGCGGGTTGGGTTTATAAAAAGATTATTAAACCCGTTGCAAACTTTTTGGCACCAGTAGCGAAAACGGCAGGAACTATCATAGGTGGAGTATTAGGTACTAAAGCAGGTAATCCGCGATGGAGCACAAGCAGGTAACGCAGTTGGTGGAATTGCTGAAGGAATACTTAATAAAATAGGAGGTAGATAGTGGAAAAATAAATTATTTTAAAATTATTTTTATCTTAGTATCGGTTGAAGTCTTTGATAAACTTTTTCTCCTTTATTTAAAACTTCTCTTATTGGGGCAGCTTTTGGTGTTATTGATTCAGCAACGTCACTAATTGCTTCTTTATTCTTAAATATCCAATTTGCTCCCTTCTTCATTGTTTCCCAAACTTTATGCGCTCCTCTTTTTACTTTATCCCACAGTTTCTTAAATATACCTGCAGCCATAGTTGATTATTTCATTAAAATTAAAAATTCATTTTCATCTTTTAATTTTGATTTTTTATTTATTAATAAATGACGACTAACTATTTAGTGCCAAACACCAAACCGATTAATGGAAATGTGTTTCATTCATTCGAAAAGATAAATGAAATATTCGCAAAGAATGATGGTAGAAGATATTATAGAGAACTTGAAAGTTCATGCTATGACTCTGATACTCCATATTTTGATGATAAACAAACTCATTTAAGAATTACAAATCCAGCTCATGATGTGAACCAATTAGGTGACACATATATTAAACGCAAAGTTAAAGCAACTCTAGTTTCAAATAAAGCTTTCACATGTGATGCCGCTTTTAAATGCATGCGTTTATTCGTTGGTTACAAATCATCAAATCAAAGCTTTAAACAATTAGAAGTAGAAACCGAAAGAGGTGATGCCGGTTATCTTCTGATGGATTGCGCCCGTGAATCTTTCGCATTTGCAACATATAAACCAAAATCAGAAAGGAAAGTTAAAAAGTTTGTTCATTCGTTATATAATAATGTTCAAAAATATGATAACTCAGTATGTGGTAAATATATTGACCCTTCAGAAGTTTTCAAGAGAGCAAATGAAGAAGTTGATGTCACTTTTGATATGATTATTCCGGTAAATGATTTGTTAGCATTTCAGGCGTTTGATGATTATCCTAAATCATTTGGTGATATCATTCTTAAATATTATGTTTTCAGGGATACTTTAGTATTTTGTCAGGTTGACCCGTTAAGAGTTGCTGATTTACAAAATTACGTTTATGAAAAGATAACTGATGAAAATTATGAAAAGATTATGAATCATGTTTATAAATATGATCGCAAATTCCAACAAATCGGACTTCCTGCCAAATTAATTACAAGCTTAGCCGCTACATCGGCTGACGCAACAGTTGATGACGTTATTATTTCATGCACAAAGATGGAAGTTTTAGAGGATAAATGCATTACACCAGGATACGGTTTAATTGAAGAATCAGTTAAAGCAATACCACGTTTATTCAGTAAGGAAGATCCATTCATGATTCCAGCTCAACATATTGACGTTCGTTCACTAAATGGAGGTTGCATCACTCCTGAAGGTATTAGCTCAGATTTCTCATACGCTCTTCATAATGTTACAGATGTTGTGTTAACATTTCCGAAGAATGCAATGCAAAGAACGGTTTTAGAAAATCCAATGCTTCGAGGTCTTCAGGTCACTATAGATTCCAGAAACTTCCCCGATCAAGCGATGACCACAGTGGGTGACATATTCTTTACACGTATGCTTCAAGCTTCTGATTTAGATGGAGTGAATGAATGCACGGAAGAATACGAGGACTCATTAACTAGACCACTGAATGATGATAATGGCACGCCATTAGCTAGAACATGGAAAGACCAAACTTCATTCTTATGCACTATTCCAGTTCAACGTGATGGAGCGGGTATATTCTTTGATGGATTAGAAACTTTCAACTCACAAGTTACAGTACAAGTGAAAGCTTATCCAATCATTCAGGGTGAAAATGACACTTACTGTTCAAAGGTGACAAATCCTCCTCAGGTTTGGTTTACTAGGACTACATATTGGACATGGACACCGGACGAAGGTTTCAAATATCATCCAACAGGTACACCACCACAGTATAGAAGTTCATATGATGAAATATTGATGAATAGAAATGTTTAAAATTATAAATTTATTTTTGATTAAATGGATTTAAATTCATCCACCCCTTATGAAGAATTAGCAGGAGTATATAATACATACATAGATGATATGATTAATGAAGCATTGAGTGATAATAGAAATGCTCTATCTAAGGAAAAATTAATGAAAATTCCATATTCTGAATGTTACTTAAATTCAATCACTGCAGCAATTGGTAAACAAAATAAAGGTAAAACATTAACGATATTAAAACAAATTATCATTATTGCTAACACTTCCCCCCATTCACATGTGTTAATTTATATCAACCGTTCAGGTTCACCTTCAGATGATACATTTGAATCTTTAAAGCATTTAATCAAAATTCCAATTATTTCTTTATCACAAGAAGAAGCAGAAGATTATTTAAAAAACTTTTTAATGTATAAAGAATTATATAATACAATCAAGAAGCAAGGATTAGAGGATAAAATTATTGATAAACAACGAGATGAATTATTTGAAACACTTTCTATTTCAAATTTTGATAGAGAATTTTTGCATTCACTCATTTTTCTAGATGATGCAGTGAAATCAAAACTAATAACAAATGAGAAATCATATTTTAATCAGTTATTAACTCAATGTCGACACATTCAGTGTTCATTCTTTATGGCTGTTCAATATTTCAAATCATTAAGCACAAACATTAAATCAAATCTATCAACACTTTTCATTTTCAGTGGGTTTAGTCGTCAACAGTTGAACGTTATGCTTTATCAAGTGAATCTACCAATGAGCATTAATGAACTTTACACACAATATCAGCAATTAGGTGAACATGGAAAAATAATAGTTGATTTAAATAAAGGAAGTGTTAAATTTGATTAACTTTTTATAATTAATTTTTATTTTTTATTTATAATTAAACATGACAGAAATGGTAAATCTTCTACAGGTTCCATTAAAACAAGGGACAAACACAAAGGGTGCATATAATAGAACTATGAAAGTTCCTGATGGAATGAAAGAATTAGTTCATATTGTTGCTGGTCTTCAAAAAGATGTTAAACAAATGAGAAACGTTTTAACATTACCAGAAGCTCAAGCATATGCCAAACGTCATGGTCCAAATTGGGAAGCACACGAAGCAGACATTACGGGTCCAAATGGAAAACCTGATGGTATAAATGAGGTTTTCGTTACTGATGGTCAAGGTAATATTAAAGTCATAAATGGTTATAAATTAACTATATCTGATTATCCTAAACGTAAAGCATATAATGAACGTTATCCTATGCAATTTGATGAAAATGGAAAAGCTGTTAAACAATACATTGGAGAAGGTGAAAATGGTCCAATTAATTCATACCGTCATAATCCATATTCTTATTTCAATGAAGAATTAAATGCTGTTGAAGAGGGACCGGATGGATTACCACGATATTTTAACCAGTTTGATGGTCAATATGCAAATATTAGACCTGAAATTTCAGCTAAGAAATTCTTTAAAGTTGCTTTATTCGATCCGGTTTTCGCAAATGTTAAAGATGAACTTAAACAGCAATTCCAACCAATTATAGTAGCAAGAATTGCATCAGGTGCTTTATCTCAAGCATTCAAAGATTTAATTAAGAAACCATTATATCAGCAACGTGGTTTAACTTATGATTTAGTTAAGGAATCAGATAAAAGAAAATTTGAGAAATCAGATGATTATAAGAATGCAATTAATGAATATATTCGGTCTATTAATTACGATGAAACAGCTAAAAATCAACTTCATGAACAAATACAGGGAATAATAGATTCAAAAGTTCCAGCAAAATAAAAGTTTAAATATATTTTTTTATTCGATTATAAATGAGAAGACGTTTCACTAGTCAAAAGAACACTAACGCAAAAGCAGAGATTACGGTTGGTTATAACGTAAATGATGATAAATCACGAATTATTCAAAATGTTAAAGTTAATGTTAGCCTGAATTAACAAGGTCAGCAACTCAACCAAATTTATTAACTCGTGACTTACCGAAAAAGGAGGAGGAAAAAATAAAGAAGATGGAAACCCAATCATTTTATCTGAACCCGGTAAAGAACCTGTTGAAATTCCCACTTATCCAACATACCCCCACCTCTTTCATCAAACATCGAGAACCCATATAAAATAGACATTAATTCTGAATTAATGAAAATTTACCGTGATATAATAATTAATAATTATGATTCAATAGTAAATTTAATTGACCAATCCGGTTTAATTATTTTACCTTATGAATCATTAATTCACATTATCGCCATTCTTTGTGATGTTCAAGATTCAGACGTTAAGATTCAATTTTTCATAGATGATGAAGGTTTCATGCTGCGGAACAGTTGCAAAAATAAATCCTATAAAGGATATTAGCACAATTAAGATATCAAAGAACGGAACAACAACTGAACTTCATTTAACATATAATGATATTTATAATAAATAGTTTGAATGAATATAAAATATCACTTGAAAAATTCTTTGTTAAGGCTATTTAATATTCAAGCATTAACATTATCGAATAATAATCCTTTGAATCATAATCAATAATAATTGACCTTTCACCAGTTTCTATCGTTTGTTTTATTTCTTTTGTTCCCCACTATCTGGATCGGTCATTGTAATTGTTTTGTTATAGTATCTGCTTTATCTTTAACTTCAATCTTTTTTCCATCAGGATATTTAAACCAAAATTCCAAAAATTCGATATTGTCAATCTGTTCATATTTTAATCTATCAATTACATTTTTAATACCATTGAAAATCTTATGAAATGGTCATTATATGGGTTTGATTGAACTAAATTTGAATGAAGTGAAATATAACCTGTTGATGAATATGACATTGACTCATATTTTCTGAAAACACTAAAATTTATAACATGAATGAATTTCTTATTCGTTGCATTTATGAATTCTTGAGGTAATCTTATTTTAGTTTTATTTATCACTGGAAAATAACGCTTTACCATATTTTTAATCGTAATAAAAATGTCAATTATCAATATTATTTCGAATAATAACTGTAAATTAAATTTAACAGTTAGCGGAATTTATAATGTTACTCTCGTTTCTGTGAGTGGTAAATTTAATCCCATTCTTTTAGATCCTTCAGATTATATATCATTTATTAAAGATGACCTTGAAAAAACGTATGATATGTATATAAAAATAATGTGATAGGCAAATGGGATATTAACATGATTTTAAGTTATTTAAATGAATCATTTATCGTATGGTATGAAGAAAATTTTAAATCAAAACCCGATAAACTTTTTGAACTTGATGAAATAAATAACCTTATTAAATTCCCGCTGAAAATTAAATTTTGTACTCCTCATCTTTCGTTCATTGTTGGGGATATTAAATTTTGAAAAAGATGTTGGGGATGTTTTGTATTCTGACACTGGTTCCAATTTCATTTTAATCAAATGTGATAAAGTTAATACCCCAATGAGATTTTCACATCAAACATTAAACCCTAACTCTTACCCATCAATACAAAACATTTTATCCATCAACTTAAACACATTTTCTTTATCATATCCGTTTCAATTATCCGGGAATTCATTTATTCTTCATTCAAAAAGATTTATCAAATATTAATTTTAGAATAACTGACCTATTTGATTGTGATTTAGAATTCATGAATGAAATATTATGGCAATTTCAAATAGAGAAAATAGCTGATGAGATAACAGATTAAATATTTATTTTTAAATCATAATAAATGATTAAACAACAGCAACCACAACAACTTAAGGCACAAACACCCAGGTCCTTCAGACCATTACATACGCCATATATGCATATAATTCAAAGACGGCAGAACAAACGCAAAGGTTGAAATATGGAGATTTGGAGATAGTATTGAAAAATGACCATTTCGAATTCGTTTGCAAAGGTGGTGCAGTGATATCAAATATAAAAGAAATTTTATTTATGAATTCAAAAATTAAAGGAATAACGGATGATATAACATCAATTCCACCAGAAGAACAGAGATATTACGCATTAAATGCATTTCCTAAAGTTTTGAAGATTGGAAGATTTAATTTAAATGAGGAATTCATAGAAGGTTTCCTAAATGACATAATGAAGAAGCGGATAAGGAATATGTGGATAGTGAGTTAAATAAGAAGGCAAATTTGGTTTATGTTGATGAAAAAGATAATGAAATTAAAGAAAAGGTTGAATGGTATCATGAATGGACATTTGAGACTTTTAAAGTTAAAGCTGATACAGAATGGGTTTCAGGATGTTTAGACCTTAAAGCAGATAAAACATATGTTGATGAAAATTATGCAAAGAAGTCGGAAGTAAATGATGTGATTACAAGCATGAAAAATGAAATACTTCAAACATTATATCCTGTTGGTTCTATTTATACGTCAATGAACTCAACAAATCCAGAAGTTTTAGGTTTTGGTACGTGGAAGCAGATTGTAGATAAATTCTTATACTGTGCTAGATATTCAAAGCAAACAGGAGGTTCGAAGAAAATTAAAGAAGCAAACCTTCCACCACACACTCATACAGGAACTACAAACTTTTCTGGCGACCATATCCACTCATTAAGAGACCACCCATTATACAACTCAGACTATAAAGCTGGCAATGACGTTTTATCTCCATTTATAACATCAGCAAAAAAGACTTTTCGACAAACTGAACCGGGGGGAAATCATGTCCATACTTTCACAACAAATCCAACAGGCTTGGGTAAAGATTACATGCCACCATTTGTGACTGTATTTGCATGGTACCGCGTTCAATAAACACACTTGAGCCTACTTTGCAGGCTTACCGAATGAACTAAATATATTTTATGTCTGTAATTAATTAGGTAATGAAGTAGCGGATGAACTGCAGAAATAGATTTTTTCGTAAATGTTTTCAGGTTATTCAATAATTAATTATTTTTGAAGAACTGAAGGTGTTACCATGTTACCATGTGCTACCAGGTTAATTAACTTCTCTGAAAAAATGAGACAACATGACATTTAGACAACAACACAGGAAATAAATGTTTACGTTAATGTTTACGTTAATGGTTTCAGGTTATTCAATAATTAATTATTTTTGAAGAACTGAAGGTGTTACCATGTTACCATGTGCTACCAGGTTAATTAACTTCTCTGAAAAAATGAGACAACATGACATTTAGACAACAACACAGGAAATTTGATGCAGTCCAAAAATAAAGTTAGTTTTAAAATTATTTTTATTTTTTATTCCTATATAAATGACAGCAACAAACAACAACAGCAACTATATCGTTTCTGATGAAAAAGTTATTGATTCATTAGCTGAGGAATTAGTTGTGGCAGAAACTAAAACCCTCAACGAAAGAATTGGTGAAAACAAGATTGATTTACATAACTACCTCAAACATGATGGAGGAAGAGGAAGGAAAACTGGTATGGCTTTATTAGTAAATAAAATTTCAAATTTAACGATTATAGATGTTGATATCAATAAATCATACAATGATGAACTTAAAGAAACAGTTAGAAAAGATATTTTATCAAAACTTTCGGATAAAGATGTTATCGTTAAAACCGCTTCAGGAGGTCTTCACATTTATTGCAACACTAATTTCTTCTATTCAGTTTCGAACAGAATGATTAAATGTTATTCCTGCAATGATTATGATATTGACATAATGACTTCAATGGATGAATCAAAGCGTTCTTTAGTAGTTATGGCTGATTCAAGAGTTCGCAAGAATGCAACAGAACCAATCAATACATACTCATTCATTCGTGGAAGTTATGACTCGACCATAACCAGAACAGTGAATGATATATTAAATGATTTGAATATTAAGGTAAGAGTTGAACAGAAGAACGAAGAAATAAAGACTATCATGAATGAAAACAAAGATGTAAACATTGACGATAAACTTGCCCAGAGCATAGTTGATGGCATCAGTGATTTTGAAGTACATAATGGCGGTGGAAACATGAATTTAGAAAAAGAAGTTACATTATTCACACTGTTTCAAGCAATTAATTCGTTACCTAATCATTTAATTAATGAAGCCTACGATAACGTTTATAACTTCTGCAATTTAACTGAAAATGCAAAAAGTAATTTTGAAAAAGCACGTAGTAGATATGCACATTTAATGACTTCTCCATTTGTTTTGGTGAAGATTCTAAAACTTTATCAAAAGGAATATTATGATGAATATGTTTTACCTTTATTACGTAAGCCAAAAATAACATTTGATATCAAACTTGATGACTCGTTTTTGATAACAGATATTAGACGCAAGGCTGAAAATCATCAGTATAAAAACAGTTCTGAAGTAATTGAGGATTTATCACGTGTAATCCGTTTTGTAGATTGTGGAAATAAATATTTCATTCAAAAGGACTATAATATCCACGACAAAATGAATCAAATATCATTCGTTCTTCAATCAAACATGAAAGAGTCACTTAAAATGATTAAATTATTTAAAGAAGAAGGTAAAACCATAACAGCATGGGATGTACTACTAAATCAATTATCCTCATTAACCGTTAAGGGTGTTTGCTTTAAATCTGATTCTCCAGATGTTTTCTCAACGTTTCAAGGTTATAAATACATCGTTCTCGAAAAGCCTGATTACCCAAAAATTGAGATGTTTATGGATTTCATTAAAGAAGCCATATGTGATAATAATGATGAAGTGTATAAATACCTTCTCGGCTGGATTGCATCAATGATTCAACATCCTGGAATCAAGAATGAAACAGCAATTATTTTGAAAGGACTTCAGGGAACAGGTAAAAACAGATTTACAGACATTATTTCTGAACTTCTCGCTGGTTATTCAATCAAAAACATTACTGAAATAAGTGAGCTAACGGGTAATTTCAATTCAGTAGTTGAGAATAAAATGTTTCTTGTACTTAATGAACTCAAGAATGTAGGTGAAGATAGACTCGCAAACTTCAACGCTTTGAAATCAATTATAACGGATAATGAGATTAGAATTAATGAAAAGAATCAACCCAGAAGAACTGCTCAGAACGTTGCAAATTTCATTTTGGTAACTAATAACGTTTACCCTGTCAAAATTGAAGTTGGAGACAGAAGATACGTAGTTTTAAGAGTTAATGGTAAATTCAAGGGTCAATTTGATTACTTCAAGAATTTAATGGATTCATGCACAAAGGAATTTTATGATAATTTACTAACATATTTTATGCAATATGACCTTTCATCATTTAATGTACGAATCATACCGATGACTGAAGCCAAACAAGATTTAATTGAATTATCAACAAATCCTTTAGATGTATGGATAAATACACATTATGATGAATTGTGTGCAGGTATGACGTGTAAAAATGCTCTATTCTGCAAACCATCAGACATGAAAGACAAGAATTTCCAAATGAGCATTAAGGATAAATGTGATAGGAAACATAGAAGAATAGACGATAAACAAACATGGTGTTATGTTTTGAAAGAAGAAATGAAAGGATTATATAAACAGGTTGAACCAAATGATAATGATGATTCATTTACTGACGATGGAATACCTGTAAATGATGCTTTATAAAGTATGATTTGAATTTATTTTTGCATTAATCCTGCTGTGTTGTCTAAATGTCATGTTGTCATCATTTTTAAAAGAAGTTAAATAACCTGGTAGCACATGGTAACATGGTAACACCATCAGTTATTCAAAAATAATTCATAAGTGCCTTCCTCCTGTTGTGTTGTCTAAATGTCATGTTGTCATCATTTTTAAAAGAAGTTAAATAACCTGGTAGCACATGGTAACATGGTAACACCATCAGTTATTCGAGACGTTGTCGAAGAGGAATAAAAATTAAATTTGGATTGAGTTTAAAAATTCATCTTTATTAAATTCATCTCTTCCAATCAATTTATTTATTCTATTAAATTCTTTTATTTTTGCTTCACCCAGTTTAAGGATTGAACGGTAAGTTTCTAACTTTTCAATTATTTCCTTCTTCTCTTTATCGTTTTCAATTACTTTAGTTTTATGGGCATCAACCCCACCGCATTGCGACTTCTTTTTGTAATAGCATATTTTTGATTTAATTCTGTCTAGTTTCTTTTTATATTCATCGTCTGGACTCTGAATCTTAATTGAATCAGGACTCTTGGCTGCTTTGTTGTCACTCATTTCTTACGAAATAAAAAAATTAAATATTATTTAAATATAATGGAGTAATAAAATAAATTGGAATTTCTATTAATTTATTGTCAACTTCAACTAATACATTACCGTTAATATATCTAACAAATTCAGCTATTGTGTCAAATCTTCGTCTTCTTTTTGTCATTGATTTATCAGTTTTTCCATAATCGAGATGAATCAAAACTTTATCCCCTTGTTTAAAATTCATGAGCCCCGAATTAATTTGTTCACGTTTAACATCATTCAACCTTTCCATTTGCTTTCTAATATATTCCCATTCTTTTGAAATATCATTTTTCATTTCCACTGGTTTCATGTTTATTGTTCTATGCCATGTATTATTGTAATAATATACTAACTGTTGTATGATGGAGTCATGATTTCCATCCCAGTATATCTGACCGTTAACCCCTAACGCATCTCTAAGAGTTCTCATTACCGCATCAACTATTTTATTATGAAACGTATATGGAGAGGATGAAAAGAAAAAATTAATTTGTGGGAAATAATGAGCCATAGCTGCCTGAAATCCTTTATCACCATCACCCCTGATATTATCTACTCTTTCATGATCTAGTAAGTATTGTATAGCTCTTCTTGTTTCCTGTTCTGTTTTCCCTTTCACTGGAATGCAATATAAATATCTAGTGTTAATGTTAATGGCAAATAAATAAGTAACGTTTCCTTTTGAATATTCCAGATGATCGATTTCGTATGAATATGGATATGGTGCAAATGAAGGGCGACTAAATTTTTCCTTTAACGGTTGAATTTTCGGGTCAATTGGTTTATTTAATATCTTGAAATCCTTTTTAAAATCTTTTTGCTTCTTTAATGTTTGAAATGGATATAATAAAGTGAATGATGAAGGATTAACTGAAGGAAGAGGCGGTACTGTCGTTGGAGGTTTTGGTGTTGCAAGTGGTTTAATTTTATCTGCTTTGATTTTGGATGATGAAGTTTTGGAATTCATTCCCCCCTTCATTAATTCTGGATGTATTCTATTCATTTGTTTTAAATATGCTGTATATAAAGGTTTGATATACTTTCCCGCTTCGAGTTTATGTTGAAGGATGAATTCCAAAAGTTGATCATCATTTAAAAGTCGGGCTGAATATGGTTTAACTAATGAATCATAAATTAAAGCTTGTGCATCATTTATGGTCTGAAGAACCTGGGCGTTTTGTTCCTTTAGCTGTTGAACATTTGCTACTTTAGACCTCGGCTTTGGCTTTTGCGGCTCAGGATTATATAATTTATATAATTCATCAATATCTTCTTCTGTTAATACTTTATTTTTGAAATCTTTCAACTGTTTAAGTTGTGATTTAGTTTTTCCCTTTGTATATTCATTATTTTTAATTTTGTCTTTAATTTCAGAAATTATTTTATTATGATATTTCAAAATTTCATTTTTATAATATGGATAATAATATTCCATATCATCACCCGTTATATTGTTATTATGTTTTTGGAGATATGATTTTAAATCGTAATAATCAAGAAAATTTTGATTAAATACTAAATCATCAATTAAAATTTCTAAATCTACATTATCCATTTATATAAAAATAAAATCAATGTTTTAAGGGTGCCCACCTCTTTGAATTATAGTATCAAAACCATTATTTACATATTGAATCGCATCATTAACGGTTCCTTTTGTCTCTTCTGTGGCATTTTATTAAAAATAAAATTTTAAATTCATGACTCAACCCCTACGTTTTTAAATTGTATTAAATAAATGGCATACAACATCCATTTTCACAACATACAGCCCTAGTGTGTGCTCCTGTTAATGCAGTCTTACCGATTGTTAAGCGAGTCATTGACCCGTTTTTAAGTTGTAAATTAATATTCTGACCATCAAATATCACTTTATTATTTATTATATCCAAATATTTTTTAGGTGTTAATTGCTTATTTTGTCTTAAACTAACACCCTTCATTTTTTGTGCAATCTTTTTAAAATCACTCCCATCAATTGAACCGTTGAATGATGTATAACATTTAGGACATAACGCCACCATGTTATCACCTTGTTTCTCAATTGCTAAACCCAATAATTTTTTCTCATGTGCTTTTTCTTCGGCTTTATTCTTTAATTTAGGTTTAAATTTCTCATCAAAACAGAAGAAATCAAATGGTGCGAATTTGAAAATGTTTTATCATAAAATTGTTTATCGGTAACAATTGCTTGAAATGCTTGAGTGTTAGGAAGATTTGGGTCGCCAGCGATTGCCCAATAAGATGAATCAGTATCACCTTCAATGAAATGAAAACGATTAACATTCATGCATTTATACATAAAATCATAAATGAAAACCAAATACCAGTATTTAGCATTATCTAAAGTGAAGAATGCCTCTTGTAAACATGTATCACATCTATAAAATCTATCTTTAAGCATCACTTGATATGTATCCTCACCTATTTCTCTTATGTTTTTAAACTTATTTGACATACATGCAACGCGTGCCTTCTGTGCATTCATTATTTTAGTCTTTGCATAATTTTGTGTATTCATTGCATCGTAACCATATGATCCATTAAGTGAAATCTTACAAAATAAACTTTTTCCTTTATTTCCTTCTAATTCAGCCTTTTGTCTTTCGTTCATAAATTCGTTCGCAAATTCATTAAAACAAGTGTTTTTCGTAAATGTTAAAATTGATTGAATATCATCGATGATAAAATTAAACCTGTCTATTAGATACCAAAGATAATAAGAAGAAAATGGTTGATATTGGTTGTGTGTTGATGCTAACTGAGTTAATTTCCTCTGTTTCTGGTCAACTGGTAGATTGTTTGATTTCATGTAATTATACATAAAACTGCCAATTGTTTTTTCATCTGTGATAATATCTAAGTTTCTTATTATCGGTAAAAAGTTTATGTAATCATTAATGTATTTTTCATCAATGTGACCCTTTACTTCAGCCACGAATAAAGTATTTTTCTTCTTAATTATTCCCAATGCTTTTGCTTTCTTTGTTGCTGTATCACAAATGATAACACCATTCAATCTTCCCGGCATATACATTTTATGGTCAGTATATTGAATGAAATCATGAGGATTAGATGAAAATGATGAAGGATATAATGAATTAAAATCAACACCAACGAAATGAGTCATGATGTTGGTGGTGTCCTCATTTGATACAGTTTTAGTTTCTGGATTATATGAAAGTTTATTAATGTGCGTGATTCCTTTAAGATTTACTCTATGTTGAACATTTGATAAACCACCAGTAATTCCATTACGGAGAATGTGATAAGCTTCAACTGAATCTAAAGTCATTGGTAAATTATTTTTTAATGCGTAATTTCTTAAATTGATTCTTAAACGTTGAACATCTTCATCTTTATTTGATTTTACGACATTGCAATAACAACACATTAACTGACAATTTTCTTTAGTATGTGGTTTTTCATTATCGATTCTATCCAATGTTGGTTTATTTGCATATGTAAACGCTTTACCACACATTTTGCATTTAGATGAAAGGATTAAATCGTGATAGTATTGAAAATCATCCATTGAAACATTATTTTTAGTATCCCTTTCTGCTTTTTCATCTTGTTTCTTATATGATTCAATTTTATATTTCCAATACTTTTTCGTTAATTCAAAACTTGATTCTATCTCTTCCTCAGGATATTTTTCATTAGGATTAAAGTCTTTATATGCTAAAGCGTAACGAATCATTGAAGCATTCGATGATAAAGAAAGATTATGAAGCATATCAATTTTATAAACAAATGTTTCTTCAATAATTTTATCGATTGGGTCAATCATAATTTCAACATCTTTATTGCAATAATGAATAAAATATTCTAATCTATTCTTAAAATTTTAGCATCATTGAGATATATTTGATAATCACTATCTGATATAGTTTCTTGAGTTAATGCTGAATAAAATGAATCTTGAGTGAATGGTTCCACTTTATATAATTCTTCTTCGTAATTTTCCCACGTGATGAATTGATAAGGGAAAAAGGATTTAACACGTGATTTATTGTTTCCGAAATTTGAGTGAATCTAATGTCCCACCCGCTATATAATTTCTGATGTCAATAAATCTCAATTCATATGGAACGTTTGTTTTCTTTACAATGATTTGCTTAAATTGAGAAGATGAACCCAGCATTCATTTTATTTTCCATTTTGCAGTGTTTAAATCACGAAGAATTAAATTTAAATCAAACTTTCCCGAATTAAAACCTATGATATTCACTTTATTGAATTCCTCATCTAGAAGTTCTTTAAATGCTTCCTTCTGTTTTTCATTTAATGTATGAGACAAAGTCCCCGCCGTTTGCGACTTCAATAATTCATTGTATTGACTCATATTTGATTTAGCAACTAATGAACAGGTTGAAAATAAAAACTCAATCCAATCAGAAATAAAAGAATCACTCGAAGTTAAGCAAAAATTCCTCGTATATGTTTTATCGTTTAATTTAACCGTTGATGATACCATGAATGGTTTTAAGTAAGCGTTCAAAGTTGCACACTCAGAAAGTTGTAATTCTTCTTTAGTCTCTAATGTTTCGAAGTCAAAAGTAATATAATATCTTGTCGGTTGATAATATTCCTGCAAATTATGAGCTAATAACCACTGATATATCTTCTGTTTCGTAATATGTGGTGCATATGGTTGCTGTGTCTTTTGCAATTGAACGTCTTGAATTAATCTTCCATTATTTTCTTTACATTTCTCACAATGCTTTAAAAATCTTCTTTGGTTTTTCCTTTCTGGATCATCACGGATAGAATAAACTTCTTCTTTACAATATGGACAAACTCTATAGCCGGTGAGTGCTTCAACGTCTGTTATTCTGTCAGCGTGAAGTTTTCCACATGGACTCTGTGTTAATAAAATATTTACTGTTTCAAATTCTGGATCTATCATTATTGAATCCACTAATGGAAAGTCTACCTTATTTATGTCCACGTCTTCTGGTTGAGGGTCACAATAATAGAAATCAATATTAACATTTAACATTCTCGCTAATCTCTCACTTTCTGATGAAATGTCAAATCCTTCATATGAATCTATTGCTTCATTTAAATAACTTCTACGAGTTTTAGGATTAACACCATCAGGAATGTTATAGAAGCGTTTAAATAACCTTCTACCTTCTGCTCTAATTTGATTATCATTCATTTTAGCGGTTCCGTTTTTGTTCATTTATGTAAGAATAAAAAATTAAAAAATAAATAAAAATAAAGTTTATTTTTTGTTGAACATTTTCACTTTCATTTATTTCTTCCTCCTCTGTTTCATTTATTTTTTGTTGAACATTTTCACTTTCATTTATTTCTTCCTCCTCTGTTTCATTTATTTTTTGTTGAACATTTTCACTTTCATTTATTTCTTCCTCCTCTGTTTCATTTATTTTTTAAAGCCCATAAAATGAATTAAGAACACATAAATTTTTATCATCTGCGACGTGACGAATACATTTTAATTTACTCAAGAATGCGTACCCGGATACATTAAATCTAATTCCTGTCTTATTTAATTTCACAACTTTGAAAAGGAATGTATGAATAGCTATAAAATGATGAGAAGATGTTTTATGGGTTGCTTCCATTTTTTCTGAAATAAATGAATAAATATAATGTTTATAAGTTTTCATATCTTTTATATTCTTAATAACGAATGGAATAGATCTTTCCACTTCGTCTTCCTTCGGTGCTGTTCTTTCATATGAAACATTATTGGTATCTTCAATAATGAAACCACAATCACACAAAATTTTATATGTTCCAATGGTTTCTTTTGATATTTTATCTAATAAATCAAAAACTTTATCAACACCTGTGCATTTATTTAAATAATAATTTGTGTAAATATCATGATCTTCTTTCTTAATCGTATTAGTTGCATATGTCACGTTTTTAAGAGCTTTTTTGAATTTCTCAGAATCGAGAGGGGGTGAAAGTAAGATACAAGGGTATTTTTCATTATCAATAAATTGTAACTTATGTTTACGTATAAATTTAGTACCTTCTTCTGAAAGTGTTTCATCTATTTCGCCATCTAATAAATTTTGTGTTGATTCTGAGACATAATTTTTATATCTTTCTTCATGAGATTTCTGAACTGCTGATTCTGAAGCTGGGATATTCATTAAACCCTCTACTTCATTTTCATTATATTTTTCAACTTCTCTTAATTCCTTAATTTTTTCATCTATTTCATCTCTTATTTTTTCCAGTTTTTCAATTTCATTGTATTCATCATCATCTTTAATCCGTTCTTCATAATATTCAGGGAAAACATCAGGTTCTTTAGGTTTTTCTTCTTCAGATGTGGGATATAAGAAATTTATAACATCATCTTTATTCATTTTTCCATCATAATCTAAATCATTTAATAACTCGGCAAATTTTTGACAATTTCTTAAATAATATTTACTAACTTCATAACACATCTCATCTAATATATCCTTTATTTCCTCGTTTGTGAATCCTAATTTTTTAACGTTGTTAGTTTTGACGCTCATTTCATACGAATTAAAAATAAATTATTCAAAAATGTAAGACATAATTTTTAAAGTTTATTTTTTAAAATTTTTTTTTATTTTTTTATTTCATTATGTATGGGCTGAGTGTAAATGTCTTACAATTTTGAAAATTTTTTAAATCTTGATTTATTCAAAAACGTAAGAATAAAAACCGTAAGAATCATACATTTTTTACTTCATATGTTAAAAAAAATGATACAAAATCGCTCGATATTGCATGAATTCTTACGTTTACAAAAAAAGTCACACAACCCTTCAACATATACTACTTTTTTTTTAGAAATCACTCTTGCATAAAATATCCCTAATCAACAAATCCAACTGAATACAGCACGATTATGATAAAAACCGAATTTGACGCGAGCTGCCAAACCATTGAGAATAATTCATTGTCAAAAAAAGAAAAAGAAAAAAACAGTCAGTTTTATCGTAAAACGTGACATTATTTGGCCAAATGGAAGTCTCATTAACATCCCAGGCAACATCAATCGCGACAGACACCTATGGCCATCAAGTCGCTGTTTCTACGATTGATGGAAAAATCTCATTTTTTTCGGCGCAAAATCTTACTCTGAAATCCACAATTGAAATCAAAGAAGCGACGCCAAATTCTCTTTCATTCTCATCAAATCAATTCGGATCCCAGCTAGCTGTCGGTTTGTCAAACGGAAATCTACTTGTTTATGCGAACAAAGGACCAAATTACCAATTAAACTATACAATCCAAGCACACAGAGCATCAATCACATCAGTCGCCTTCCATCCCACACAGAACATTATTGCTACTTCCTCACTTGATGGAACATTTGCTATTCATTCATTTAAAGAAAATAAATGGGTTTCAGTTACAACAGAAGCCTCAAAGATGGGCTTAACATGTTTGTGCTGGGGCTCAGATAGCGCTAACCCTAATGCCATCCAAACTGTCTTCGTTGGTGGCGTAGATGGAACAGTTGCAGTATATCTTAACTCAACAGTGTCAGATTCTTGGGATCTCGGATCTATTGCCCAGGTTCATAACGGTTGGGTTAGAAGTATTGCGGCACCAACATCTGTTAGTGGTGGCGCTCAAAAAGTTGCTACAATCGGTGATGATAATATCGCTGCTGTTATTAGATTTACTTCGAACCAATTAACTGTCAATTATACAGGCCAACTCCCAGCGCAATCTTCTGGAGTTTCGTGGGCTATGGTCGATAAAACTCTTGTTGTTAGTCAAATTGATGGAAAAACTACAATGTGGAAAGAGGACCAGAACGGAAATCTCGTTTTGATCCAGGAATAAATTACTTAACCTTTGCTTATTATATTATTTATAATCTTTTTTTTTCCTAGTTGTTTATGATATCTCTCTTTATTTAAAAAATTGAAGTTAAGGTTTAAATCTGAATCTCTGTTTTCAATTTTAATATTATGGAATATTATGTCTGAACTTTTGAAATTCTTGCGACCAACTTCACCTATAATGCTTATATATACTAATTGTGTATCAATTATGAACATGTGTAACCATGATGTTGATAAATGCTCATAACAATCTGTTTACACTTCCGAAATGAGATCGATCTTATATGATTGATAGTCCTCTAATGAAAGACATGCATTTCTTTAATTTTTTTTATTTTCAATGTTTGAAATTATCGAAATCATTATTAGAATAAAGCCAATCAATATTCTTGATGTTATGCTTTTAAACATGTTGTGGTACATCACTAAATGTCCCAATGAGATATTTTATATCAAAAATTTTTTTTTGGGTACGAAATTTCAATTAAAAAATTTATAAAATTTAATTTTCTAATTTTGATTAAAAATTTGGCTAAGAAACGAAAAAAGAAAATACACAAATCATTCGTTAATTTATCAAGTACTCTCTTGATCATACTTGCGGGGTAGAATCAAAGATATTTCAAGATATCCTTTCATCTACATGCCACACAGGCATTTAATTTGTGCAGATATTGAGTTATTTCACTTTTTGGGTGCTGTTGACAGTAATTGCCGATTAACTGATATTGGGCGCTTGATCTCACAATTCTCATTGGAACTAAGTCAAATTAGTTCGAATGCAACAAAGAAGTCATAGCATTAATTTCTTTGCTTTCTGAACAAAGACAAGTGTTTTTGAGGTCAAAGAAGGATCTTTTGAATCTTACTTCTTGGCTCAAAGTATTCTTCACTTGATTGAACAATTCAACTTTCATCAATTTCGGAGACAGATCATATGTATCCTTTATCAGTAAACACATATTCTGAGAACAGCACCAATTTTAGAGTCTTTCCCCTTAAGCAGGATGCTTTGTGTAAAGGTATTACCTCTAAAACTCAGAAAACAAATTTCCAGACTTATTTACAAATCCAGTCAAAAGTGACTGAAAAATTAGTTTGTTTTTATTTGGATTAATCCATAATGCGGACACAACAGGGATATTCATTTTCTACATCATCTTTGTTAGCTGTCATTGAGATTTCAATGCACTTTCCAATGTCTGAAAATTCAGATAATTTTCATTACAAAATTGACCACTTTTGTACATTGTAAAAGCTTCAATAGCAATTAACAATGTTATGCTGACATTTGTTTGGTTCTTGAACTGCCTCTGCATTTGCTACAATCTGTTTTATAATATATCTTAGCGAATTTTTTTTATTTATAGATAAGTTTTATTATAATTTCACTTTAAATTGGTATGGTATATAATTAATATTTTCCACAAATTTATATATATTTTAAAAATGATTATTTCAAAATGAAGAAATATTTTAAAAAGTCAAATTATGATTTATGACTTATTTCGCAAACTCTCTTACTTTTTTCCATCAATATTTGCGCCATGTGAAATAAAAAGGTTGGCTATTTCTTTACCTTTTTGCCATCTTGTAAAATCAAGAGCTGTTTGACCATGAGCATTTTTTTCATTGACATCTGCACCATGTGAAAGAAGAACTTCAACTGTTTCTCGATTTTTATACCATACTGCTACATGAAGAGCGGTTGCTTCATTTTCATCTTTTTCATTGACATTTGCACCATGGGAAATAAGAAGTTCGGCTGTTTCTTTTCTATTTTTTTCTGCTGCGTAATGAAGAGCGGTTTTTCCATTATTATCTTTTACATTGACATTTGCACCATGTGAAATAAGGAGTTTGGCTGCTTCTTCTTTACTATTATCTTTTACTGCAATATGGAGAGCGGTTCTCCCATCCCTATCTTTTTCGTTAATATTTGCACCATGTGAAAGAAGAAATTCAATCATTTCTGTTTTATATCTTGCTGCAACATGGAGAGCAGTTTCTCCATCATCACTTTTTACGAGAAAAAAACATAGCACACATTTGCACACATTTTGACACTTTTTCTGACAAGCATCATTCAAATTTGAAGAAAAACCTCTAAATTTCATTCAAATTTCTGTCAAAATGTGTGCAAAATTGAAATAGGCACACATTTTGACATACGATTATTTATATACGTTATTTTAATGGTTTCAGAGAAATCTTCGTTACACATTATTGAAGATTACTCAATATTTAAGTGAATGACTCACTACCACCTGTTTAGAAAAATGGTAGCATAAAATCCAAATGTCACATATATTATTTCTTATTTCATACAAATAAACTTACAATTATAACCTCAACTTGTTTGCAAAGCAGAAACTCAATATAAGCAATCGATCAGTAGTGTATTTAAAAGTCGAATTTAAATTTAAAAATTTATAATCTTATTTCGGAACCAAATAGTATAAATTTAGGACAAAAAGCTACGTGGTGTTGATAACAACTATTAAAATTCAAATATTACTACCATGAACAATACAATGGCTCATATTGATAATTGATAAACGTGCATATAAATTGCATATATCATCAATGTCATTAAGTAAAATACATGTATATAAATAGATTAGAAATATTTTTCGGTTAGAATTAAAATCTATGTAATAAAAAATAAGTTATAAAAATAAATACCGAATTTTTATTTGTAATATAAACTGCTACAATATGCTAGTGTATACAAATGTATTTGTCGTATTGATTTGAAAGATCTTCAACATGGTTCAGATCTAAATTTGAAACTCGTAAAATAAAGCGAATCTTTATTTGTAATATAAACTGCTACAATATGCTAGTGTATACAAATGTATTTGTCGTATTGATTTGAAAGATCTTCAACATGGTTCAGATCTAAATTTGAAACTCGTAAAATAAAGCGAATCTTTATTTGTAATATAAACTGCTACAATATGCTAGTGTGTACAAATGTGTTTGTACAAATGTATAACTCTTTGTCAATTGTTATGGCACCTTATAACTTAAAAATCATTTTCATTAACAAATATAAAAAGTGACAATTAATATTTTCATTAAATGCATATTTAATTATCAAAACAATGTCGATTTAGCTTGAATGTTCATTATAAATATGTAAGTTTAGGAAAACAAAAAATAATTAATTCTCGCAAAGAAACTTATTTTAAAAGAACCTAAACAAAAGTTCATATAATAATAAATCTAAAAATAGATATTAATTTAAACGAAGATAATGAGAGAATGGGGATGTTGTAAAACAATGAGACTTAATGATCAAATAATTAAAATAATAAAATTAATTAAAGGAAAGCTAAAATAGTTTAATGAATTTTTATAGATTGATTACACAATCAATGTTTCTGTGTCAATGTACATCAATCAACATTGTTTCATTGAATTTTGTCTTTCACCAAGAAGATTCAAGAACAAAGTTTTGTAGTTTCAATAGATTGATTACACAATCAATGTTTCTGTGTCAATGTACATCAATCAACATTGTTTCATTGAATTTTTGTCTTCATATATACTTATATATTACTGTTCCTATTTCCCTTATTATTAATTTTCAAATTCTTATAAAATAATTTTTTATTCTAAATGATTTGTCATAAATTAATTAATCTCATTTCCAAAAATATCATCTTCTGTAATTTCGAATTCATTGATATTTATATCATCGGATTCTTCTAATTTAATTGTAACAGAATTTGAAAACTGCTCATCATTTTTATTCAGATATTTTTCAATTTCTATATCTCGATAATCGGCCTCTCCAAATCGAAATGATTTTTTATGTTTTTTGATTATTTCACTTGGTATTTCTGCACGTTCTAATCCAAAATTAGATGTGAATACATCTAACTCTTGTTGAATTCTTGTCAATGGTATAAAATACGATTTTTATGATCAAAATTGTCATTTTGCTGCCTTGCATATCGATGAAAATATACCTTATCAACTTTCAATAGGATGTAAATCATATGATAAATAGTTGGATGTGGGAATGCAATATGAGAGTTTAACACTTTGTTAAATGACTCAACTCCATTATTGGAAAAGATCATATCAGATACTTTCAGCTTGTTAATTACATCATACTTTTTACCCCATGTATTTAAGAAATATTTTGCAAAATCATTTATTTCTTTAATCGCATCTAATTTTTTGCAAATTATTTCAAAAACTTCTATTGGAACAAAAGGACATGCACATAATAGTTTTAAAAGTGATTTTGCGCAAACATCGTTTTCATCACATAACTTTTTGAAATTTTTAACAAGAGCTGCTATATAATGAAATATACAACCAGTGACTGTAGTTTCATCATTGACTTTAGATTTGATTGATTTCATTAATGCATTCTCAAAATCTGATGTAATGATTTTATATTTTCCCAATGATATACTAATAAGAGGACATGTGATCATTAAATTAAAAACTGTATCATAGTTAAGTGATGATCTTCCTGTCATTAGTACATGAAGGAAAGGTAAATATAAATTTGTAGCTTCATCGTATACTAAAAGATTTAAGAGCTGCCCATTTGCTAACTTAATTGGAACGATACGAAATGTTCCATCTATGAAAAGATGGTTGCAAGTTTTAGCTCTTTTTATAAAAGCTGGCAACCGAAGAAATAATAGTTAGTATCATCTGAACTTGAGTAATATTGGGTTATATAATAATCTGTGCTGTTATACTTTTCTAATAACTTCTTAATTAATTCATTTTCGCTTAGTTTGATTTTAGGCCTGATCTCGTAGTATAGCTTTGCTATTGTTTGAGGTGAAATATCAATAGTATCATCATGTGAAGAATTGTATTCAAATATGAGTTGATTTGAATATTGTCGAGCTTCAGCTAGTGATAACAATGGATTATTTTGAATATAAGTTGATATCATTGATTCGAATTCATACCTGATTTGATGTGTTCCATTGATTTCAATCGAATATTTGATTTGGAGCAGTTGTGTGGAGGATTTATTTCGTGGATTGACGCTTTTATATTCGAACCAGCTGGAAATAATGATATAATTTGTGAATAACCACATTTTTTTCGTTTGGCACAATAATAGTGTAACTCTAAATGATCATTCTTGCAATAATAACGTTCAAATCGTAATGGAGTACCTTGAGGATATATCGTTTTCCTATAGGCAAGTTTGTCAGAGTCAGATATACTAAATGTATGATAAGTACGTAAAATATCACTAATTTTTATTCTCTGGGCTTCTTTATCATCTTTGTTCAATATATTGTAGTTTGCAACACATTGTTCGCAAATGGTTTTGGAAAGATTATATTGACTCCTTTTGTCGGAAATACTTTGATATACTTTCGCATTATCAATAATAATTTGAGGGTTAATAAAGTTATCAAAAGATAAATTATCAGTTATATGTGGTTGTTGTTTAGGAAGAGTCTGAGCTGGAAGAGATTGTTGTTGTCTCTGTTGAGGAAGAGTCTGAGCTGGAAGAGATTGTTGTTGTCTCTGTTGAGGAAGAGTCTGAGCTGGAAGAGATTGTTGTTGTCTCTGTTGAGGAAGAGCTGGCGCTGGAGGAACTTGGATGTTTACTCTATTTACTTGTATAAAATTAGGAGGTAATTTGAGGATTGCTTGCCGAAATTTATTATTATTTGATTTTGGTTTCAATATGCGTCCATTAATATTTTGATGACCATCAGTAATTTCATCATTAATATTTAAATTTCTTTCATTAATGTTTTGATTAATATTTGAATGGCTATTAATCGTTTCCCCGTCAATATTTGAATTTCTTTCATTAATGTTTTGATTAATATTTGAATGGCTATTAATCGTTTCCCATCAATATTTGAATTTCTTTCATTAATGTTTTGATTAATATTTGAATGGCTATTAATCGTTTCCCATCAATATTTGAATTTCTTTCATTAATGTTTTGATTAATATTTGAATGGCTATTAATCGTTTCTCCATCAATATTTGAATTTCTTTCATTAATGTTTTGATTAATATTTGAATGGCTATTAATCGTTTCTCCATTAATATTTGGATTCCTATTGCCAATTATATCATTAATATTAAGCGCGTTTCCTGATTTAATTTTATCTGATTTTACATCTTCAATGATATCATATGAATCATCACTTGATTCAACATCGCTATCTGCTTTAAAAATCCCTTCTGCTAATACTTCTGTGTATTTTTTACCATTGCTATCTGTCCTTATTGCAATCATTTGACCTTTTATATCACTTCTTCTAAATTCTCTTACTTGTTTTAATAAGCAATTAAGTTCATATCCATATTCTTCGATTGAATCCATGTTCAGTATTTTCATAGCAGTATCAATGTCATTTCTGGCTGAAAACAATGCAATTTGTGAAATATCCATATCATATCCACATTTTATTAAATCCTCCAAATTTGATAGTTTAGTTGAAGAAATTATTGGATTGTCAAATAGTTTAGAGGCTTTTTTGACTCTTTTATTTCAATTGTCATATCTGAATAATGTTTAACATAATTAAACAATTGTATCTTCTTTGAATCTTTTTGTAATATAAAAGTCTTTAGTTTAAGATGAAATACTTTGGAAGCATATAGATATAATGATAGACAATGTATTTCTTGAGGAGTATTGACTTTTTTAATTTTATTTCCATATTTGAGCGTGATAACCATATCAAAAATGAATAACCTTAATTTATAAATCTGAATTTGATTTTAATAATAAAAATAATATATATAATGTAATTCATGAATTATATTTTTACACTTCATTTTACCTGAACAAATATAGCTGATATCAAATAACAATTTAATATAGAAATTGAAATTGTTATATATGCAATGTAAATACACATAATACATATATTATAATTTATCAATGATTATTGTCTAGACCAAAATTTGTAGATGGAATTATGCAATTTCTCAATTTAAAGTCCCAGCTGTTTGTATAACAACTTCATATTGAAATTTACTAATAAACACGGTAAGTTTCATAATTTTTATTATGATGATCTTACATTTGATTAAAATCGACGATTTTTCAATTGGAAAATAGTGCAAAGTAATAAAGAATATATTTAGCAAATTTTAAATTTTTTTCAAAAATTTTAGAATGAATCTTATAGAAGGACTAGCAAAGATTTAAAGGAAATTTGAATAAACTCATAGAATTTTTGAAAGAAGAAGGGAGATTTGAGAGGATTTTTGGTCAGAAAAATATAGAATTAAATGAATAATTGGGTATGATAAGATAAGTGAAGGTAAAAGATAATTTTAGTAAACGAAAACGTGTAAAGTTGAAGCAAGGTAATATTTTAATCATTTAAAAAAGAAAAAGAGGAAAACTTGTTCTTGAATCTTCTTGGTGAAAGACAAAATTCAATGAAACAATGTTGATTGATGTACATTGACACAGAAACATTGATTGTGTAATCAATCTATTGAAACTACAAAACTTTGTTCTTGAATCTTCTTGGTGAAAGACAAAATTCAATGAAACAATGTTGATTGATGTACATTGACACAGAAACATTGATTGTGTAATCAATCTATAAAAATTCATTAAACTATTTTAGCTTTCCTTTAATTAATTTTATTATTTTAATTATTTGATCATTAAGTCTCATTGTTTTACAACATCCCCATTCTCTCATTATCTTCGTTTAAATTAATATCTATTTTTAGATTTATTATTATATGAACTTTTGTTTAGGTTCTTTTAAAATAAGTTTCTTTGCGAGAATTAATTATTTTTTGTTTTCCTAAACTTACACATTTTATAATGAACATTCAAGCTAAATCGACATTGTTTTGATAATTAAATATGCATTTAATGAAAATATTAATTGTCACTTTTTATATTTGTTAATGAAAATGATTTTTAAGTTATAAGGTGCCATAACAATTGACAAAGAGTTATACATTTGTACAAACACATTTGTACACACTAGCATATTGTAGCAGTTTATATTACAAATAAAGATTCGCTTTATTTTACGAGTTTCAAATTTAGATCTGAACCATGTTGAAGATCTTTCAAATCAATACGACAAATACATTTGTATACACTAGCATATTGTAGCAGTTTATATTACAAATAAAGATTCGCTTTATTTTACGAGTTTCAAATTTAGATCTGAACCATGTTGAAGATCTTTCAAATCAATACGACAAATACATTTGTATACACTAGCATATTGTAGCAGTTTATATTACAAATAAAGATTCGCTTTATTTTACGAGTTTCAAATTTAGATCTGAACCATGTTGAAGATCTTTCAAATCAATACGACAAATACATTTGTATACACTAGCATATTGTAGCAGTTTATATTACAAATAAAAATTCGGTATTTATTTTTATAACTTATTTTTTATTACATAGATTTTAATTCTAACCGAAAAATATTTCTAATCTATTTATATACATGTATTTTACTTAATGACATTGATGATATATGCAATTTATATGCACGTTTATCAATTATCAATATGAGCCATTGTATTGTTCATGGTAGTAATATTTGAATTTTAATAGTTGTTATCAACACCACGTAGCTTTTTGTCCTAAATTTATACTATTTGGTTCCGAAATAAGATTATAAATTTTTAAATTTAAATTCGACTTTTAAATACACTACTGATCGATTGCTTATATTGAGTTTCTGCTTTGCAAACAAGTTGAGGTTATAATTGTAAGTTTATTTGTATGAAATAAGAAATAATATATGTGACATTTGGATTTTATGCTACCATTTTTCTAAACAGGTGGTAGTGAGTCATTCACTTAAATATTGAGTAATCTTCAATAATGTGTAACGAAGATTTCTCTGAAACCATTAAAATAACGTATATAAATAATCGTATGTCAAAATGTGTGCCTATTTCAATTTTGCACACATTTTGACAGAAATTTGAATGAAATTTAGAGGTTTTTCTTCAAATTTGAATGATGCTTGTCAGAAAAAGTGTCAAAATGTGTGCAAATGTGTGCATTTTATCCATCTCCTTTTTACATTGATATTTGCACCATGTGAAATAAGGATTTCGGCTGTTTCTTTACTATTTTGAAATGCAGCAATATGAAGGGCAGTGTCTCCATCATCACTTTTTATATTGATATTTGCACCATGTGAAAGAAGAACTTCGGCTGTTTCTTTGTGATTAAGACATGCTGTAATATAGAGGGCGGTTTTCCCGTCTTTGTTTTTTTTCGTTGATATTTGCACCATGGGAAATAAGGATTTCGGCTATTTCTTTTTTATTGCCAAATGCAGCAATATAAAGTGCTGTTTTTCCATCTTTATCTTTTAGACTGCTGTTTGCACCATGTGAAAGAAGAAATTCAATCGTTTCTTTTTTACCTCTTGCTGCAACATGAAGGGCTGTTTCTCCATCTTTATTTTTTGCATTGATATTTGCACCATGTGAAAGGAAGTATTCCCAAAGGGATGGAATATTAAACCTTGTCGATTTAATAAAACAATTATTAACATCATTAGTTTGATCAAAATAAACCAAAAATGATTCAAGATTATTGTAAATTCCACAGTATTCTAAATCGATCTTTAAATTGTATTCATTCATCAAGAATGTAACAAAATCAATGTTGTGTGAAATAATTGCATAGTCCATACAATAAGAATCTGGTTTTTGATATTTCAAACATTCACTCATGATCTCTTGATTTCTTCCTAAAAATGAAAGTTTTAGACATATTTCAGTTATTTCTGAGTTAAATTTTGTTCTTAATAACTTAAAACAATCAACTGCTCCATGGTAACAGCATAATTCAAGCAACGAATATCCTTTGTAGAAATATGGATATAATACGCTTTCAAGTCTTTGATTTTTATCAAATCCTTCTCTTTCTGTGAAAGCAATGAATTTTTCTAGGTCATTATCCATAATTGCTCTGTAAATTGTATTTTCTGGATGAATGTCGAGATCTTCGGATTTGATTTTTTCGAAATCAACAGATTTGTCTAATTTAATTCCGTATTCTTTATAAAACAGGAACTTTAAATGATGGTCAATATTTTTGACCTCTTCAACATTATAATCATCATATATATGTTTGGCAAGTTCCAAGTATGACTTTGTATAGCGGTTATTATATTTAATGATAGCCAAAATATTTTCGATAATATTTTGGGGAAGGTATTTCTTTGAATCAATCAACTCTGTCCTGATCAATTTGTAAATCGAGTTTAATTCTTCTTCGTTTTCCGTTTTTAGCTTATATAACGCATTAAATGGATCGATGTGATATTTGAAGATATTTCGCAATTCAGTGAATTTATTGGGATGAGTGTCTTGATCAGACATTAAAAAATTTAAAGTCATCGCTCTTAGGTATGTTATCAAAGAAGTATTTTGAGCTATTTTTAGAATTGTTTTCGACTAAACTATTCTTAGAATGGGATTTATGAACTATTTCAAAATTTATTTATGAACATAATCAAAATCCATTCATTATATGCATAAATTTCGTGAGGATAAAAATATTAGAAAGTAGATATGTCTTCTGCTTCAGTATATTGAGGAATATGACTGGGAAAACTACTTTTTCCGGCTGAAGCATATTCATTATAGTTATATCTTTGTCATGTATTATAGTGTTTTCGTATTTGGGGTTATAGTTTTTAATCTTATTTCTCATTGATATGTAGTTTTAAATCGTTGCTTATAAACCTGACATTTCGCATAGTCTCAGAATTAAACACTCATTCTTAAATTTTCCTTATTTCTCACTTTTAATGTTAATTTCTTTCAAATTTCCCTGTAAAAATTATCAAAATGGAAAAATTTTAGAAAGAAATAGACTTTTACAGTATGCCATATACGTTTTCAGTGATTTGAAGATTTTGACACTTTCGTTGGAGTTTATAATTTTTCTTTTCGAGAAACAAAAAAAAAACTAGATGAGTCAGCTTAAAATTCAAAAATTAAATCTACGATTCTATCCACCAGGACTCACCGTAGTCCTCAACGATAACGGGGAAACAAAAACAGAGAATATTGAACTTCCACCTTTATCTGTTTTGACAGATTTACATGTTTTAGCAGAAAAAATTGTATCAACATATGAATTTTTTAATACAAAGCACACAAAGAAAATCGAAGCTGCATTAAATCAAATTTTAGACATGCAAACAATTGATTATTCAGATTTCCAACTCCAACACATGCATCAAATGCACGCAATGCCATTATCAGACTGTTCCTTCAACAAAATGGGCGATATGTTCGTTACTTCTTCATATGATCATACTGCTTGTGTTTGGAATACAGAAACAGGCGAACAGATTGCTAAATTTGTTGGACACACGTTACCAGTATACAGCTGCTGCTTTAATAATCCGTACGGAACCTTAGTAGCTACAGGATCTTTTGATAAAACAGCAGCAATTTGGTCGGTCGCTGAAAACAAGTTAGTTTACAGATTAGGAGGCCAATCATCAACAGATGGACATACAAAAGAAGTCGTTACCGTTGCTTTCGATCCAGATTCGCAATACGTTGCTACAGGTTCTATGGATTCTAAAGCAAAGATCTGGGATGTACAGACAGGCCAGCTACTACAATCCTTAGAGGAACACACCGGCGAAATCGTTTCCGTTCAGTTCCATCCATCAGAACCACTTTTATTAACATCTTCATTCGACAAAACGGCCAGGCTATGGGATATCCGTACAGGCGATTGTATTTCAGCTCTCAGAGGCCACAAACGCGAAACTTGTGCTGCTTACTTCAATTCCGCCGGAACAAATATCGTAACAGGTTCTTTAGATAGTACTGTAAGAGTTTGGGATGTCAGACAAGCATTAGCAATACACGTACTTAAAGGACATACATCAGAAGTCGTTGCTGTTGCTTATTCTCTCGATGGATCTAAAGTTGCTTCGTCGTCCATTGATAAAACCGCTAGAGTTTGGTCGACCACAACCGGAGAATGCATAGCAATATGCGAAGGACACACAGATGAAGTCGGAAAAGTGACTTTTAACCCTCAAGGCACAAAAGTACTCACAGCAAGCGACGATTTCACTTGCAGGATATGGGATGTCAATACAGGAAGAGAACTTGAGTGTTTGTCTGGTCACCAGGACTACGTAACAACTTGCGCTTTCAATTATTCAGGAGATCGCATTATTACAGCTTCTAAGGATAACACTGTTAGAGAATGGAGAGCAATGAAGACGGAGCACTAATCTTTCCTTATTTTTTTTATAGAAATTAGTTCATATTTTATTAATTATATTTAAAAAGTGTTTTTTATTAATAACAGTATTATTTTTCACAAATTTTATTTGTTTTCATAAAACAACCTTGTTGATATACAACTTGCTAATGTTGCAAAATTGATGGAACTCTCTAAACTACTTTTTAATAGAAAAACTATCAGATTGTAAAATAACTTTAATAGCTTCTAATCATGCAAAAATTGCAGGATTGGATGCTTTATATGGAGATATAATTTAAATTGAGAATTGGTAAGTAAAACAAATTGTATGCTTGTTTTATTCATCTTTGTTATTATGTCGAATTTGAGAGAGTAGATGATGAGTTTCAATATCCTGCTACTGAAATATAATTAATTGTATGTCTTAATTCAAAAGTCACCTTTGAAATTAAAAATCTGACATTTTTGATTGGGAAAATCTGACTATCACTCCAAATTTGTTAAACCAAAGTCGAAAAGATTTATTATCCAATTGGACTTTAGTGAATGGGACTTTAGTGAATGACTTCTACGTCACATCAGTATATTTCATTAACTTAGGAGATTCTGGTGTGATTTCTCTGAATTCAAGTCAAAGTAATTCTTTAATATCATATAGCACATTTATAAATTCATCAAATAAAAAAGAGCGTGAAGGCGGCTCTGTTACGACCATTTGCAAACAAAATGCTATGCAAAGACTATGCAGTATCGGATCGGAATCCCAAAATGGCTTTGCATTTGCCTTTATTCAAATAGTATGTGATGAAAAAAATATTAATCATATTTCAGAAATCTCGATATTTAACAATAATCCGAATACATTTTCAAGTAGCGGAATCTATATCGGGGTTATTTCTAATAAATATCCTAAGATCGCTAAATATTCTTTTACAAAAAATAACTTAACATACAATGATGGCTCTGTCTATATTACATTCGACATATCAGGATCCGTAAACTATTCATTATTTGAGCGAAATTCAGCTGCTGAAACGAATTTATACCATTATTATATGTCCACCTACTACCATAGCATTGTATTTACAAATAACTCAGTATCTAGCATAAGTTATGATCCTCGTGGAATGATATTTATTGAATATGCATATGCTGAATTTGAAAATTGTTATTTTGCAAATAACAAGCATGGAGAAAGTTTTTTATTCAAAACATATCATAATCAAGATACTTTCAAACTTATCAAATGCTTATTATTTACCGAAAATTCTAATATTTTTACAGGTTTTGGACAATATTTTAATGAAAGCCCTCAAGAGCCAGAAATATATCTAGATTTATTCTCAACCGAAAATTGTCCAAGGGAAATTTATATATTGAATTATAAAACTGGGATCACAACTTCTTTTAGTCCATGCTCTATTATTCTAAGCAATCTAACGTGCAAAAATAAAGCCAAATTCTCTAAATCAAAGCTTTCCCCTTTTAATAAAAAATTTACCCAGATTTGCTTTACTTTTACCACCTCTCGAAAGCTGGGGACACCGCCTATCGTTGGGAGTAGCTATTAAATAGAACCACCAAGGGTATTTTTCGAACTGCCGGTGTAGTGTAGTGGAAACATCTGACATAATGATTTGTTATGCCAAGGTTTGATTCCCATTTACCCAATTTTTTTCTTTTTTGGATCATGAATTTTTTTTTGGGTCACTATAAGATTTGTTTCATGTTCTAAATCTGCTGCATATGTAATCTATTTTTATTTACCTATTTTTTAAAAATCTATTGGATTGCCAAATTTGAATATATTTAAAATCATAAAAATCCAAAAAAACTATAAATATATGTTTTATGCATAGTGCCGATACTCAAATATCAGATTACTTAGATCCATGAATAATATCCGAATTTTTTTTCTTAAAATTAAACTTCAAAACTTCTTGCAATCTTATTCTTAATCAATTGTAAATTTTTAAAACCATTTTTTAAAATAATTTTGCGTAAATTTTATTCTCATGTTGTTTTAATCGAAAATTGATACATTTTCAAAAAAATAATATTGACTTATGAAATTCATTTTTAAGGTGAAATAGTATTGTTTTTATTAAAGTATATGAATAATATATAAAAAATTAATGAATAATATAAGCAGATTTTTAGTTTACAAAACAAATATGAGCAATGCAATTTCAAACTTTTGCTGGCAATTTCGATATTGCTCAAGTTTGTAGTATTTGTGATACCTATAACATCGGCTTAATCAAAATTCGATTTTTCTTATGAGTTATTGAGAAAATTTGATTGCAATGAGAAGGATTTCGACGTTTTTGATAAACTAAGAGCTGAGCTTTAGGGGTTCAGTTCATTTATGGCTGTAGTTTGATGCGTAGATCTCTTTTTTATTGTAAATTCTTTCAGCATGGAGATCGAGAATGAATCTTTTGAGAACTTTATGAGTTTTTACACCCGTAAAGAGGTCCTTCGAGGAAAGATAGTCCAGACTACATGAAGATGTGGGTTAACCAAAAAAATCCGATGGTTTCCCCATATTCATGTAGATCTTCGAAAAAATGAGCACCAAAAAAGCCAAAAAAATAGGCTTTTTATTGGATTTGTACACTAGATCAATAATCTATTTAGGATCTGACACTCTTTTTAGCCAGAGATATGAGGTCCTTTCTAGGAAAACGATCTATTCATCCATAAAAAAAATGAATTATCGTTTTCCCCAGAAATTACATGGGGAGTGGTAAAAGTAAAGCAAATCTGGGTATAATGATTAAGGGTGCACACGAGAGGATCATGTAAACTTCAGAATTTAGAACCTTATTTTTAGGCATTATCTTGGCTACCTTATTTAGGCTCGAAAAGCAAAAAATATCAAAAAATACAACTTGACTCCATTATGACCCTTTCATGGAGGTAGTTTTTATCCGCTAGTATTTGCCCTTTGAATCTCTTTACAATTCGAAATCAAATTCAAAACTCAGTAGAAGAAAGGAAGAATCGACTTACTACGGTTGTAATACGAATAAATACATATATTTAATTATTTTTATTTACATAATAATTGTTTGAAGCTCATATTCCATCAAATTTTTAAATAAAAACATTAAAATGTTGAAAATGTTCATATATTTTAATAGGGTTTTGGCACTTTATTGAGGAATTACTACATACATAGTCGAACTGAACTTGATATTTTGAAATTTAAATTATTTATCAAAATTAAAATTTAACTTGAAATTTATAATTATTTAGTCATATTTTGCATAATTCTAAGTAGATTTTGTAAAAAATCAAGAAAGAAAAATTTTAACGTGCTTTATTTTTTCTTTTTATAATAATACATATTATTATATAATTAACATATTCATAATGTTTCACCCTTTCAAAAATATAATCCTCCTCCTCTCAAATAAACGTACATACGGGTGGCCTCTTTTTTCAAAAAATTAAAATTTGAAATTTTGGGCTCAAATATTAGAGATTTTTTCAACCTTCAACGATATATGTTGTCTATATCAGACCTCCTTTCTTTTTGATACTTAACATTGTTCCTAAATCTTAGCCGTTAAGGCTGTTCTGAAAATATTTTTTTTTCGAAAAAAATTCGAAAAAAATTCTTAAAATTCAAAAATCCCTTAATTCCTGAGGATTTTGGAAAAAAGTTTTTACATGAACATGTGTATATTATATGAAGTAGGGCTGTACAAAATCGAGAAAAACATTGCCGTGCGGTAATATAGGGTCAAAAAAATCGCGCCTCGGCGGCTCAGCCGCCTCGGCACTATTAAGTGCGCATTATATTTAATATGTCCTTCTTTTTTTTCTTTCTTCTTCTTCTTCTTTTCCTTTCCTTCTTCCTCTCCTTCCTCTTCTTTCTTTCTCCTTCTCTTTTTACAACAACGTCGAAGATCTTCGAATTTGATTGTTGGAAAAGCATCTATTTCAGATAAAGGATGCCTTTCTCACAGTCAACATACGAGGGTCCTGGCTGAAACGTTAGTTAGTATACATATCTTCAGTACGGTGGCACTGCGCACCTACTTACCCATTATATGTGAATTTGACACTTTACGAAACCACTAACGTATATTTTACAACACAAACGCAAAAACTAACTTAACCTTAAATATTTACAAAGCCGCCAACCACTTCACCTCACTAACGAACTCACTAATGAAAAAATAAACGTTCTCATAAATTTTCTTCTATATCTTCATCGTCAATGTTAACTCTATTGTAGTCATACTTGAAGTCATAAAGTTTCTCAAGTTTTGAAATGCATAGTCTTGTTAACTTACCTTCATCATCATAAGTTTTTATAAAACTACCATGACAATCTTTATACACAGTCAATGTATAATCTACTGGTCTAGGATGAAGTGTAAAGAACATGTCATACTCAGGAAGGAAGAATAAATGTTTAAATGTATGTTTGTTATATTTTTCGATTTGTATGAGTTGCTTTTGTTCTGTCATTTATATAAAAATAAACTTAAAAATAAATGATATCACCACTCCCACACGTATGAAAACATAGCACAAAAATAAATTTAGGTGAAGTGGTGAGATCTAACCTCATTTCTAACCTCTTTTCTACCCTGTTGAATTCATTGAAATCAGATGAGGTTTTGAACCAAAATTTCTAAGCAACGTTGTCAAGGATTTTGAGGAACTAGGGACAGAGTGTGGCAAAGTCCAAGATTTAATTTATCTTCATCTGTTTCATCAGCTATCTCATCTAATATGCCAATATTTTATTCATAACTCGTGGCAAACTCACTAACTTTCATTATGTTCATCTGCATGCTTCATCTGATAGAAAGTATGACTTTCATTAACTCTGTGAGATAATGAAAACTACTAGGGACAGAGACCATGGCAAAGTTTATGACTTTCATTATTTCCAGAACTTAATGAAAACTACTAGGGACAGAGACCATGGCAAAGTTCATGATTTAATTTATTCTCTCACTAACAACAACCACAAACTCCAACACTAACGACAAGTACTAACCTCAG